AAACATACAACAGCGGGGATTCGCTAGTGGTCACCCACCTAACTACTAATCCGCCGGTACACTGCTTGTATATGGCTGAGCGGACGGGAAGCCTAATTTTCAGTGTCCTATGGTCGTATGTGAAGTAAAGACCAACAATCAACCTTATGACAGTAGTACCAACCTTTGCAGTGCGCATCTTATAAAACCCCTCCATTCCAGCATTTAAAGTCGCACTTCTCTTTCTGATCATGCTCTACGAGCAGTCTATTCTGACCATGATCTTTGCATTTCGTTAGTCCTTCTGGTCGTTTGTTTGTCTTACATTCCGATCGTTGTTCCGGGAATGAGGTGTCATGTTTTCTCCATTTCATTCGTCATGGGAACACTGAAAAGCCCTTCTGCCAAAGCTGTCATATCGTGTCCAAGACTCGTAAGCATCAATCTGATCGCATCCACGGTATCGTCTGGTAATTGTCCAAAGCGGCAGAGAATGTTGAGGCCCGTAGGCGCCATTGGCGTTTTGGCGACATAGATCACGATCCACGAGTTACCGTCAGCATTGCAGATGTGCTCTTGTCCGTATGGCGATGGTGGGTGTATCCCGTACCCGAGGATCTCCCATCCTTGACGAATCAGTCTCGACCATCCGTTACCACGTCGTGTGTAAACAAGGCTTGTCCGCTCCCCGTGATGGAACGTGTCTCCATACAGATCCGGCGTCAGCTCGCCGTTCGCTTTCCCACCTGGTCTAATCGGTTTGCTCAGACCCATTGCCGATCGATATGTTACGGTAGGCCCGCATGGTTCTTGCCAGAACATGAAGTCCTCAAGCTGAGTACCGTACTGGAGCGTAAAAATTTCTTCGCCCGTAACAGCGGCAGGACTTGGGATGAGTGCGTAGTTTATCATCACGTCGCGTGCCTTGCGCCATCCGGGAAGAGTAGAACTCGTCAGCTTCCAGGTGCCGCTGAGCCATTTCAGCGGCGGAGGAAGGACACACGCTGGCGACGCGAAGCGAACAGCATTGGGGGCGCGCAAATATATCGCGGTATCAGTTGCCATCGGGACTGCGTAGTGATGGAGATGATCCGGGTGAGATGAGCATCACGCTGCTCTGCGAAGAGGAGCAGGAGTGCTGCCTTGGTAAATAGGCAGCAACCACTTAGTGTCCACGCTAGCTCACTCGCATCTACCTCGTATAAGAACATCGCATTCGTCCATCAACATGTCGATTCAGCTCTAATTGGCAGATTACTCCAGATCAAGCGCACTTACAGACCATGCCGAGATCCACCCGTTCTTCGGTACGTTCTCGGGCTATCGCATCAAGCCAGAACGGCGTAGCGTCAACGCGCCGACAAACACGGAGCGGACAAACGCCATCATCATCAGCGACTCCCAAAACGAGCATCATTCGACGCAGGATACCAAAGCCGCCAACTTTTGCATTCCTTGCTCGTCATCAAGATATAATCAACGCGGATCCCAACAGACAGCTCCGTTTGTTCGCTCTTCCAAAGGAACTGATCGAGCAAATTGCAACACATCTTCCCCTGACATCAGTCATCTGCCTTACTTTGACATGCAAAGAGGCCGCTGAAACAGTTGGGACGCAGTCGTGGGCCACGTTGAAGAAGGAAGGCCGATGGTCCGCGCACCGGTATGACTTCATCGAGCTTTTGGCGCGAGATTGGGGTGACAGACTGGATTACTGCCAGCGCTGCGACATCCTTCATCCCCCTCTGCAACCACCAAGAAACCACCGGGGCACAAAATTGACTAAGCGGTGTTTTGGACAAGATGCAATGATCGACTACCTCCCCCAAGATGCGTCGCAAGGATACAACCCAGTGCTAATACACATCACCAACGCCATAGAGGAAACCAAAGACTTTGCTTCGAAGGGCGATGTCGGGCCCCTTCTTGACACACTATCTGGTAGTTTTGAGATTATGAAGAAGGATTTATACTGGTGTCTTGACTCGACCGGTCGGCGTATCGACGGTAATCTGGTGCTCAAGCATGTCCACACCTTCCGGAGTCGAACGAGCAAGCGCATCAGCGCGACGGATCTGCTTACTCTACCTATCCGTCTCTGCCCTCACCAGTCCACCGCTACAAATACACCCGAATCGTCCCGGTACATCAATGGTCGATGTGTAGAGCAGAATGGTCGCTTGCTGACACACGTCATCGCCTCTGCATTTCCAGAATCAGATCAGTCGCGAGTTGACGTGAGTACTTTCGGACCCCTGACACCGTCAGAGCAAGCGCAGGTATTCGCTTCCAAAGCCGGAGAAAGGATATACTGGCAGTGTCGCTCGTGTCCGACGAAGTATCGTGTGCAGCGATGCCGGAACACAGTTGTGATCACGAGCTGGCATAGCTTTGGGAGGGATATGTACCATGCGATGAAATACTGGAAGTGGTTGGTCAGACGGACTGGCACTACGCTGGGCCCAGACAAGAGGAACGACGAGTGGTGGAGTCCGTCGCGGACGGTGCCGGATTTCATGTGCGAACTCGAATGACGACTGGCCAATGAATGGTTTGAGATGCATGGCACCCCCAAGAAATCTACCACTGTAATAGCTGTCATCTAAAGAGTGCCAGAGACATAAGCTCAACCTATCTTGTACGGCACCAAGCCAAAGCTGCCCTTCCTGTCCCCAAGTCCATACGTTACGACACCGGCGGAGACCTCACATGTCCGTCACTAAAGCCTATCCAGTCGTCCAGTTGATGGTCACCGCAGCTTGAAGAGGCGCAATTGCGGTCTTTAGACTGTTCACAGCCTCAGTGAGACTTGCTACGCCAGTAGCAGTGAGTCCTGTGTTGAGAGCTGCGACGGGCCCGAGACTTGCTACGGCTGCAGCGGAAAGAGCTTAGATGAGAGCAGTGATGACAGCTCTCTCGGCGTCCGTGAACAAAGTAAGTTCTGTTACATTAGTCAGTACACTGATAGCGGATCTGAATTGACTCCGAGTTTCGCTATGCCGTTGTAGCAATGCACCAACTTTGTTGTTCCGAACACTACACGTTCAGAAAGACTCGAGGAAGAAATTGCCTGGATATTGTCACAGGATTCAGCTATAAAACGAGATATGGGCACCGCCTTCAGAGATTGTAGCCGAAGACAACCAACAACATGATATCGTCATTGGTGCCGCACTCTACAAATCTTATGACGCACGTTCTTACCTCCGACTTGGTCAACTGCGATCGATACTCGCGGAACACTGCGACTGCACTAGAGACGGCCCAATACTGAGCCACGGTAGCAGAGAATAAGTCGATGCAGCTCTGGATACATTAGCGTCGGGGCTCGAAAAGGGCCGGATCGTTCTATACGAAGAATGAAGATTTCCATAACGTATATTTCTAGGTAAACATGCCAGCACTTGGCATCCGAAACTAGCAAGAACTAAACTGTGTCGCAAAATGGTATCTCTCAGTAACAAAACGCCCTTGAATGCCATGCCATGCTGTACCAAAACACTTCTTCTTCCACCAGCACTCATCTCTACCTCCCACCAACACCCCTCCCCCTACCAGCCGTGTTGTTATTATTGCCCGGTGTCCTCCACTCATCCTTCAACACCCACCTGCCCCTCTGCGCACTCCCACTAACCTCCAGCGTAGCAATCAACTTGAGCATCTCTTTGAACTCCTCATTCCTGCCTGGCTGCGCACGGCAATAATGATCAAAATGATCGACGAGCATACGACTAGGAACCACACCGCCATGCGTAAGCATGAAATCGCGAATCATTTCGAGCATGCGGCGGCCGCGGAATGTCTGTGGTGTTGTTGGTGCGGTTGGGGTGGAGGCGCGAGATGAGGTGGCGGATGTTGTGCCTGGGTTGAGGGGCGAAGGGCGACCTTGGCGGGCGGCGAGGTTGTTAAGGATGGATGTTGAGGAGGGGGCAGAGCCACCGCGTCCTCCACCACGACCACCACGACCGCCACGTGTGGATGTCATACCGCGTGGTGCCTCGGGTCGTCCTGCTTCGCCAAATTGACCAGTCCATGTCGGTGTTCCCGCTGGCACATTTCTGGCTTCTTGCATGCTCTTCTTGAGTTGTTCGGCTGCTAGGGCGGCTTGTCGCTTTGCTTCGCGTTGGATGTATGCCGGGTCGGCTTGGACTTTTCGTTTGCGACCGCCGGCTGTGGAATTCATGATTGCGTCGTGTTCGAGAACAGAGTGAACACCTGTCTTGGCGAAAATGGTTGACATTAGACGGGAGTCTGTAGGAGGCTTGTCGTCGGCTGTTGTGCCATCCTCGTTAGTGGTGGCAGCGTCTTCCGTGTCAGTCTCAGGGGCCTTGAAAGCTTCAGCTCGCGAGATACCCTTTACTGCGGCGAGGTCCTCGGCTCCTGTAGCATCGGCCGCTGCATCAGCAGCAGCAGTCTTGCCATCTTCCTCAAACTTGACTTCCGAACCACGGAACAAGTTGCCTGTCTCAGTTTCGCCCTCGACATTTTCGACACCAAGTGTGAATAAATCATGAAGATCGCTCATCTGGAATGATTGTCGCTGTTTAGGATCCTTTAGCACCTTGTTCGTCAAGAACTGCTTGAAAATCTGACGATGGTAGATCTTCTCTTCGATAGTACCCGCGGACATGAGACGGTATATCTCAACCTCTCGCTTCTGTCCCAGACGCCATGAACGTTCTCGCGCTTGTATATCGGTAGAAGGATTCCAGTCAGGGTCGTATATGATGACGCGGTTGGCGCCTGTGAGGTTGACACCGAGACCACCAACCTTCGTTGTGAGCAGGAAGACGTGTAGGTTCGGGTCGTTATTGAACTCGTCGACAAGATTTTGTCGATCCTTAATCGGCGTCTCGCCGTCCATACGACGCCAGTTGATATCAGGTAGTTGACTGACAAACTTCTGTAGGATATCTAGCATGATGCGATGCTGAGCAAAGAGGAGGGTCTTGTGTCCGCCCTTCTTCCATAACGACAGTAATTCCTTAACGACCTGCATTTTACCAGATCTGTTGGGATTACCATAGTCGTAACCCAGCTTCTTCGACAACGTCTTATGCTCCGTCAAATCAGGATGATTGCAGATTTTGCGAAGAAAGTCGACACCGTATAGCATTTGACGCTTGCCGCTGGCGATCGACTTCATGTCTTCTGAAGCCAGGAAACCTTCGTATGCTTGTCGCTGTTGGCGCGTCAACTTGCAGAACAGCACCTGCTCCTTCTTCTGTGGCAGATCGGTCGCGACATCGATCTTGAAGCGCTGCAGAAGGTATGGGCTGATTGCGTCCTTAAGAGTCTCGGCACACTGTACTGCCGTCTCAAACTCCAAGTTTGAAGCGTTCGCGTATCCACCACGCTTGATCGGAAACTCGAACTGATTGCGGAAGTTTACCAAAGTGCCTAAGCGCATTGGAAACACGAAGTCGAAGAGCGACCAAAGTTCTGTCAAATTGTTCTGCATTGGCGTACCAGAAAGAATGATACGGTTCGGTGTGCGCAACTCCTTGCAGTGGATCGTGATGGCAGTATTTGGGTTCCTAATCTTATGGCCTTCGTCTAGGATGGCGCATTCCCAGTCAGTAGGAATCAAGAACTCAGCGTAGGTTTGCAATCCAGAGTAGGTGGTAACAAGCACATGGCCATCCCGTTTAACCTTTTCGAGAATCTTCTTGGCAGCCTTTCCGGCACCGGTCAAGGTAGTGTCATAATCGCCATAATTCCGAAGCTCGAGTTCTCGTTCCATACGGTCTTCTCGACGGGTGTCCAGCATCCCGCTTCCAGAAGTGTGTAGGATAGAGACCCGAAGTGCAGGCCACCAGCGGTGAAACTCGTTGACCCATTGCTTCATGACAGTCGCCGGACACACTACAATGACAGGCTTGACAAGTTTCTTGGAGTAGTGCAGGCCGGCAACAAAGCCGATGGCTTGAATGGTTTTACCAAGACCCATCTCATCGCCGATGATGCCGCCTACATTCTGCGAATATAGTTCCCAGAGCCACTGCACGCCGGTCTTCTGATAGTCGAACAAGGCTGGATAGATATCTCCAGGGATGCGGAATCCACCATCGAACTCAGTATCAGCTTCAGTGGGATGAGGCTGGTAGCATTCCTCTTCTTCTTCGTCGTCCTGATCTGCAATTGTCTCACCACTGTTCGCCTTTGCTTTTCTCCTTGCAGCTGCGCGGCTCTTGGACCAAGTCTCTATGCGCTTCCGATAAACCCGCTCATTGCCATCGTCAACACCTGCTAGGTCCTCGACAACAGCTTCTTCTGCAGGAGTAGCCTTTGCCTTCTTTGTTTTCTTGCCTTTAGCTTTGCGTTTGCGACCAGTTGTCTCTTCCGCGTATGAGTCGTCTCCATCCATATCGTCCGAACCCTCATCGGACTCGTCCAACGTCGCAAGCTGGCGATCTGACATACCAGGCTCGAAGGCATCGTCGGAGTCGGGATCGGTGAAGCCAGGTGCCGCGCTTGATTCGCGCGAACCGAGAGTATCGCTGGCAGGAGTGACCTTCCGTCGCTTCTTGGATCGAGCTGTGGGCTTTGGGCTCGGGGCCTCTGAACTAGAATCGACGTCTTGGAAGCCAGGCTTCATCAGGTTGCGATGTGACACTGGTTCCTTCGCAGTGTCCACCACCATGTCCTCTGCCTCAGCATCGAGCATGACCTCGCCTAATGTTCCCGAGTCCGGCTGGTTCTGCGCCAGTTTAGAGAACGGTGTGATCTTTCCTGTGCGAATGAGCCACTCGCCTCGGGTTTCGTTAGGCAGCGGCCCTTTTGCGCCTTCTTCCGCTGCCTCTTCCACTCCAGGCGCCTTGTGACGATCATTGATACGCTGTTGTATTCCGTCCATTTCTCGATCCAAGTTGTCGACCTTGTCCCGATATGCCGCGATCTCGCCACGAAGTTTGGCTTTCTGCGTATCCAAAGCTGGTAGAGCCAGGCGGTTCTTGAGCTTCTGTATCGCGGCCTCCGCGCGTTTTGCTTCAGCCTCGAGCTTTTCTATACGCTTTTTGTCGCGAGCGTCCGCCTGCTCGGTCATCATCTGGTCCGCCTGCCTGCCGATATCACGCTCCAAGTCATCCTGCGCTCGTGTGCCAGTCGTGAGCATCTTAAGTCGTGCCTCCTCGTCAGCATCCGACGGAAGTTCCTCTGCTGACTCGTATGCACCATTGTGCGCGGTGGTACCACCAGGCTCATCATGATTGTCGGTGTTGGTGAGTGTGATCTCGGGCATCGCCGCAGGAGCAGCGTCCTCGGAGGGCGGCGGCATGGTGGCGGATGTGCACAGTCGATGGGAAAGACGAAGGCGCTTCTACTATATCGGCGGCTCGGGAAATGCTTCTGGGACTGTATGCGATGCGCCTCAAACTACGTGGGTGGTAGAAAATCGTGAGAAGTTGCGCCGAAGGCAACAGCGGCGAGTGGAGAAAAGTGAAGGAAAGGCCAAAAGCGCTAGAGCATAGAAGAAACCATCACGAGACAGTAGACAACACCCAACCAGGCTTTAGGGTACAGCGTCGAGAAAAAATTATCGTGGGCGTCGAAGGCACGACTGTGTTGGATGGTTTCATCATACTTTCACTCAGAGCGATGATATCACTAAACGCGCTAGTGGACGCGTGCGGACAGCGCCCGCGGCATCGCGCCACCACCACTATGCCCGAGTAGACAGATATCTACAAATGCCTTTCGAGAATGTACACTCGGAGAAATTTTTTTTGAGCATTACATTACCTGAGCCACTGAGTAAACTCATAAATCCCATGAGCTCTACCTGCATTTGCTAATTGGCCGATCATGGTTTTCATCGACGGCATTTACGAGCCGTGTCTATGATTTCCATCTCACCTCTTTTGAGCGCCCTTGCTAACTTCGATCATTGGATGTTCGTTTATCACGGTTTGGTCAATGGTTCACCAGCTCGATCTCGTTAACCGCGCCTTCGTCTCTTCCGCGTAATGCAAGTGACATTCGAGAAGCTAGCAAGCGCGATCCTGTCAATCTCCGCCTCACCGGCGCCTACGCACCATCTGACTCGCCCTCTTCCATCTCATTGCGACGCGTCGATTCCTGAACGAAAAGTCCGGGATCTGGACCATGGTGCATCCGAAGTCTTCATCCTGACTAGAGTTTTACTCGCCCAACATCACGCCCTATATTCACCACATTCGGGCCGTCCAGGGTTGACATTGATGCGGGTGGCTATCAGCCCTATGCAAGTCATGAGTTGGTGTCTTAACAAACAAAGCCACCTTCATATCGCTTGCGCGCGCTGAATCCTGCGCTCAAGTCCGCCCGCCTCAACATACCAAACGACTCAGATTCATCTCATCGACGAGGCTAACGGCTCCCTTGGCAGTCGACGCCTAGGATGAGTCTCCGCGGGCTCGATCTCTCCACGATGCAATCGCCTGAGACATGCAGTGAGTGCCTGTAAATCAACGGTCTGCCCCGAACTACCGGAGCAGCCGGTAGTCATAAAGCGGACACGCGTTTCAACCCTAGGTCATCGATATGGTGCGCCCAATAACAGATGCGATGCGGCGCGCAGTGTTGTTCCAACATGCCCATCTCGGCCGGAGTATAATACTTCCACTCGAAATAGGAGGTAGTTCATCCGATGGCACGAGTGCACGGAACGTCAACAGAAGAGCTGAGATCAAGGCTAGGCTGCTATCGCTGGGGATTTCCAAATTGGTCACAGGAACAATTGAGTTGGCGGGTTGTCTGAAGCGTGGGTCCAAGCTTCACTTTTCAGATTTATCCATAGATACCCTGTCAACGCCTGTGAACATGGCTGCAGAGGTGAAAGTCGCGTGGTACGAATGCGGGGAAGCGAGAGGTTGGTTTGACGAGCCATGCAGCATCGCTCATACAGGCTGCTGTTGCACCACTCGTAGTGGTCTAATACTGTATGCCGGGATTTCCCCGCGCCGTACTGTTCAGCCAGTTCGGGCAACACGACTCATCCCTTGGCCCAAGTCTGGATAGGCTGAGTCCTGACTCGGATCCTTGTGTGGAGCTCCCTCCCGCTGCATGATTGCGTTAGAGAACGGCATCTGGCGCGCGATTGGCGTTGTGGATATTGCCGTTAGATGTTTGATAGTCAGTGCCTGCGGCGTCTCCTTACACATCATCATGAGTGTCGCCTCCATGGTTTCTTTTTCCTGTCAACGTTCTACATTGTTCACGTAAATGACTTTGGCGTCGGATGCCGAAGGGCCTCCACCAGTAGCACCTCATGCTCGGCTTTCTATCGTGCTGGCCTTTGTGCTTACCTCTATATCGACTATAGTCGTAGCTCTAAGGTGCGCCAGCATTTGCAAGCCTGACCAAACATCGGGTTGACAGCTCAGGTTTTATGCTCGACATTTTCATGCTGGAAGGCTCACGTCGTCTGACTGGGTCATACTTTTAGCCATTGTAAGTAGACGTTCTCTTTTTGAGATGCTGTCACTGACTAGAACCAGATCGCTACATGGTATGTGGACATCCGCGTAGATCAGATGAGCTGAACTGACTCGAATCTTCTTCACACAGGCTATCAGTGGTAGTACATTGCTACATGATTCATTTCCTCGATTACAGCAGTGTTACAGTAAGTTGCTACTGGCTGTTTGAGAGTCCAAATCTGACACTTCACAGCCTTACGTCTGGGAAACATTCAGGCCAATAATAGTCGGCTCCAATCTGTCAATATGGCTATACCGCATCAACTTCATCCTCGATCTCTGTCTCATAAAGACATCGATACTACTATTCTACGACCATATCGCTTCGTCAAATAAGCGCTTCCAATACATCGTTCGCGGATTACTCGCCATCATAATCTCCGGCGGAATATCCCAGATAATCGCGTCCATTCTTATGTGTACTCCAATCACAGATGCCTTCTCGTATGATGTATGGTACCGCGCTTTCGTCCTGCACGACTTCAATGTCAAGTGTTACAACCCGAATCCGTTTTGGCTCTTCATCGCGGTCTACAACCTCACTACGGATGTAATCATCTGGACGCTACCAATGATATTCTTCCTGAATATTTCGACATTGCCGCTGCGACGCCGTCTCGAACTGATCGCCATCTTCTCCGTCGGTATCATTGCCGTCATATCCTCCGCCTTCCGACTCCACACTACCGTCCTTTGGCTGTCAGACTACATACAACAAGGGCTAAGCACACCAGATCTTCTGTTGTGGAGTCAGGTAGAGCAGAATCTCGGTATCATCGCAGCCTCCGTACCCTTTCTCCGACCGCTCTTTCGCAAAGCTCTGGGCAAGGCGAGGAGTAGAGAACAGCCAAGTCCGGGTCCGGGTTTCCCTTTAGTCGGCAACCCGGCCATGTTCAGGACGCCAATCATTCCATCACCTAGCCCGACATTCGACAGGTGTAGTCGGGAATTTAGGCCACCAAGGAGTACGCTCGAACCCATTGAGCCTATCAAAAGTACATCGACTTGGGGCTCTGCGATCTGGGATGGATCGCAGGTGAGGCAGGTGCTTCCTGCTTGATCTGGAGGTGATCGATTGGTCCACGAACCTTATAGGGAGTTGGCACTGAGCTCTCGAAGAGTTCAGCCGACACAGGATGATCTAGCTGTGTGTTAGTTTGCAACAGGAAGCTCAGTACTCCCCAAAGACAATACCCGCTTGCTCCTCGAGCCCCCCTCAGTTACATACTCCACATTCGAGACTCTCTTGCCACTTCGGTATCGACAACGACCATGGGACGATGTCTTCGACTTGTGGACAAACGTTTAGCATTTCAAGCTCACGATCGGACTGGCGTTCTTGCGGCGATGTCATGCGTTTCTCTACTTCCGCCCAAGGCTGCACTCCACGTCTTTCCGACAGAGATCTTCAAAAACATCGTCGAACACATACCTGGCTCGCAACTTCCCGAGCTGTTCGCTTTATGCGGCGCTTGTCGTTTCTATCGCTCCGTTGCCATTGGTTTCATCCGATCGGAGATGAATGCCAAGTTGAAATATTATCGAGTATTAATAACGAAAGTCCGCTTGATAGCGCTTTTTGAGCACATAACCGTACCCCAGTGGTAATGTTGCATTCAACGCGTCGAGTTCATTAGCCTTGGGGGACGCCATGACTAGGAATAGCGCCTCCATATTGTGTAATGATCCTTTCGCAGGCTCACCTACGGAGACCTTGTTACAACTGCTACCTCCTCTACATGACGAAGTTGGACGGACTATCCGGTTTGTGGTCGTTGCCAACCTCCTCAAGCCCGTCCGTAGGCTCATTGAGCCCTTCTTTATCTTAAACTAACACAGAACTCCCGAGCTTCGAATTCGTCATGCTCAAAGGGAGCAGTGGCACCAGAGATCAGCGATGGACCTTTCTTCGACATGTCAGCCTAATGGTGCGTAATGTGTACCTGATTAGTATGGACCTGACTTCCAGTTCTTGGGTCTTGGATCTTGGAGTGTTGGTTGAGTTGAAGCTATTACGCTGCGTAGTCCAGAATCTATCAGAGATGAGGAAGCTTGCATACGCGTTCATTAAGAAACTTTTGCGAAACCAGGGAGATCCTGGTTGTTTTGACGACTGATGTCTTCCTTGTGTGGCGAGAGGTGGCTTCGCATGGGCAAACTGTCACTGTATAGTCGAGTAACATGGCAGATGTAGACGGGTAGCTGCAATGAATAGCTTCAATGACGACCATCCACGCGCTCATGTCAAGTGCCAACATGATGGAGGGGGCTGAGCAGAGCGTCGTACTCGTGGTGTTGTGATTCGTCGCGGGCCGACCGCGTCATGCTCTCGCCATTAGCCCTGCCGAAAGCGTCCAGAGCGAACAGTGCGATGCCGCAGTTCCAGAACTTGAGCGGCAGGCGACTTTATCAGCATGCGGTGGGCTCACTGTGACACGATCCACATGTCTTCCATAGGGCAACGCTGGCGTGATTTGGTAGATGCCGGGGACACTCGAGCCGCTGCCGAAAGAAAGCTCAGCAAAGCGGTGAACGACGAAACGGGCATAGACGGCCAAGGGGCGCGTTGGTGATTGGTTTGGCGCAACTCTCGGCAGGCACTAGTGCATTTCTACCCACGCGTTGGCTTGCCGGAACAGAGTGAACCTTGAGTGGCGAAAGTGGTACCACGTCGATCAGGGCGTCGCCAATCTCCAATTTAATCCGCCTCCTTTGCAGCTACTTTGCTCCCTCTTCACTGCAGCACCTCCACCAATCGCTCCTTCACCTCTCTGCAATCTGCAGTCGTTCCTTCATTCTACAACTGCCAATTGTTTTTCTTGGATACTGAACACAGCCAAAATGTACGCCTCCGAGCCGCCCCGAACGCGCAAAACCCGTGATACTAACAGATGATAGGAACAACGCAACGTCTATCCTGACGCCAATGGCGCAGGACACCTACTGGGGCACCTTTGAGGACATCTCCACGTACAATGTACAGCTCAACTACCTCGAGAAGATGTGGATGGCCTGGTACGCATGGATGGGCAACGACGTCCTGGCGACAGGAATCATGTCCTTTGTCATCCACGAGGCCTTCTACTTCGGACGCTCGCTTCCCTGGATCATCATCGACTGCATACCTTTCTTCAACCGCTACAAGATCCAAGCTGTACGTTTGCCTGACTTGCCAGCTCCATCGCGACCAAAGCTAATTTGCCGCAGCACAAAGTCCCCTCTGCTTGGGAACAAACACAATGCGCTCTCCTCGTCCTCCTCTCCCACTTTACCGTCGAGCTTCCTCAGATCTGGCTGTTCCACCCCATGTGCCAATACTTCGGTCTCGAGACCTCGGTTCCTTTCCCTAGCATCTACAAGATGGCTTACCAGATCGCCATCTTCTTCGTCTTCGAGGACGCATGGCACTACTGGGCCCACCGTGCCATGCACGCCAGCTCTTTCCTCTACAAGAACATCCACAAGATCCACCACCAATACTCTGCTCCCTTTGGCCTGGCTGCTGAATACGCCTCGCCCATCGAAGTCATGATCCTGGGTTTCGGTTCCGTCGGTGTCCCCATTGTCTTCTGCGCCATCACCAAGGATCTCCACATCCTGACCATGTACGTTTGGATCATTTTCCGTCTGTCCCAGGCCATCGACGCACACAGCGGTTACGAGTTCCCATGGAGTCTGCACCACTTCCTGCCCTTCTGGGCCGGCGCCGAGCACCACGACGTTCACCACGAGAAGTTCATTGGTAACTACGCCAGCAGCTTCAGATGGTGGGACTTTGTCCTTGACACCGAGGCTGGTGCTGAGGCTTCCAAGAAGCGACGAGAGCGCAAGTTGGCCGCTGCCAAGGCCAAGAAGGCCATGTAAATGAGTGCTGGCATGCTCACAAGTTTCGGAGTCTTGTCGGTTTTAGCCGCATATACTCGCCGGTGGGAAGATGGTAGAACCACTCCCGACCGACTTACCCACACCTGCTTCATGCGGAGCTGGTATGAGACATGGCGTTTGGGTTATAAGAAAACCGCGGCCATGAATGATGGCTGCGGCAATAGACAGTAAAGACCCTGGGTAATGGGCGGCAGAGCGGTGTTTGTGTGAATAGGAGCTGGGTCATTATAGAATATCTACCTAATACTATTACGGTCGCTACGTTGAATGCTATCATTATCTCATCACTTACCGATTCGATCTTCTCAGTTGAACATGCATTTAAACGCACGAACACGTTTATTGAGGATAGCATGAAGTGGAAAAAGTGTCTCAGGTAAACGGTGAACGAGCTGCGAGGCCGCCCCTGGTGATAGCGCGGAAGGCGTCTTGGCGCGGTGAGGACTGGCGCGTCTACATTCCGAGCTTCATCAACTTTCTTTGACCCGCCCAAATCGCGCAATCACCACCACATCAGATCGACGGCGCGCGAAAAAACGGAATCATGAGCTCCGGGCGCCCTGTTGCAGGTGTCCACCAGGACTACATTGCGAAAATCCGATATTCGAATGCGCTACCTCCTCCACCATGTCCACCAAAGCTGCTGGACATTCCCAACACTGGCCTTTCGAGCGGCCAGTACACATCAGCAGGTTTTGCGTCGAGACTGGCGCGGGAACAGTCGCTGAACATTGAGGCTGATGCCGAGCTGGGAATGCCCATCGACTTGGTGGGTATCCCCAAGGTATTCGATGGAGACGAGTCTGGTAAGAACGAACCCACGGCGCAACCGCCTCACAGCGACTAACGCGTCGAACAGCCATCCAGGCGATGCCTCACCCACCGCCGCTCAGCACAGCAGACAGGGCGCTGATGCGACCGCCGAACCAGCTTGGCAAGACGCAGACCAATGCCCAGGGCGCGACCTTCCTGCGACGAACAGAATACGTCACATCAAGCACAACCGGCGGCTCCAAATTCGAGTCCAGCAACTCGTCCAACACGATGCGCCTACGGAGGAAGCGAAAGCAAGTAGAGACCTCACTAGACGATCCCACAAACATCGCCCGACACATCTTGAAGAGCTTCAACATCGCCTACCCGGCTGACGCCTACAATGGCCAAGACAGCGCCGACAACCTCAGAGCCGCAGAATCAACGCCTGAAGAGCGCCTAGCATGGAACAAGCCCAAGCACCCCAGAAACCCCAACCTGACTTTAGTCGACTCCTACCCCCTTCTGCCGGACTGGGACGCCATGCCCGACACGGGTGGCTACATGGTCTTCAAGTTCACGGCGCCGCCCATCAACAACCCGCTCGACCCCTCCTACGACCCGCGTCTCGACGTCGCCCTCCTGCGCCCTGCCGGTCAAACAATCCAAGACCAAGAAAAGTACATGGAGGACCGCGAAGCGCACCGCCTGGATCCCACCGTCCCACCCCCGATCCCCCGTTGGCAATTCGAATACTTCCTCCCCGCAGACCGCAGCAAGGTCCGGGGCATCAAACGCAACTTCACCACGCACGACCCCAACAACGAAGCCGACATTGACTTTGACATTGCCGAAGACGACGAAGGACAACCGCGCAAATGCTTCAAGTACGATAACGTGCGTACGTACGAGACGAGCCAGCAGGTTGGCGACCCGTCAGATACTTATGGCGATGTTGTCGCGCTGGCGCTGCATGATCCTGAGAAACATGAGGGTGAGAGGCTGAGGGATAGCAAGATGCAGCGTGCGGCGTACTTTTACCCCATCACGCAGAGGACGTCGTTGAGGCCGAGACGGCCGGGCAGGATCGATATGACGGAGGAGCAGCCCAAGGTTGATATTATTGAGGCGGCGGGCAAGGAGCCTGAGGGCGAGGCGAGGAGGGAGGGGTATAGGAAGAGGGCGGAGGGTATTGAGTAGTCCGGAGGGAGATGATCAGGGTTGGGGTGGGAGGAAGGGATGAGTGCTTCTCACCGTTGAAGTTTTTAAGAGTCGAGATTGAACCCGTTTGGCATTGTCATCAGCGAGGCGTTTAGTGAGGCTACAGAGGATGTAAGAATAGGATATCGTGGCATATAAGGGAATTCACTCAAAAGATATCTGCTGATTGGTATTCTTTCGATTCATGGTAGAAAATTGCGCGACAAGTCTATCCTAGGGAAGAGAACACTTAGAGCAACGAAAGCGACTACCTATAACTCCTGTATACGACAACAACTTCTCCTCTGGAATTTGGCCGCAATCAGCTCAGCCTTCTCGCGGTCCGAAAGCTCTTCAGTAGTGTACTTCTTCTTTTGAGCTCCAAGTGGGGTCTCTAGCTGTAGTAGGATTATGTTGTATCTATGTTGCAGGAAGAACGGGGTCACTCCTGTCGACTTCGCGTCTCTTCCGTTGATGATCCCACACATGCGCCTTAATTCACTCCTCTAATAGTCTTTCCAATAATTTCCACACTTCTCAAATCAACCAATCATAAGTCGGAGTGCCGGAGTGGTTAACGGGTGTGACTCGAAAGAGCAAAGCTCTCATAGATATCACATGCTTTCGGGCGCGCAGGGTAAGCATTATTCTTATAGTCAGTCATGACCTCCACTAACGGCTGATAGTTCGAGTCCTGTCTCCGACGTCCTTTTTTTTTCTCTTTTCCTCCCCTGGCATACCCCGCCCGAATACCCAATGGGAGGTTTCAAATAGGTCGTTAAACAACAATCAATCCACACTTCTCAACCACGCACATGCTCTGAAGCACACTTCCTCCGAACATCCGATGTCGCCTGCCTTTGACCCAACTCAAATCCTCTCAAACTCTGCATGGTCGCTAGCAAGTCTCATCATAGCCACCCATTCTTCTCTCGTCTTCCCCATATACATCTGATCTGGCGACAACACACCAGCCATCCCGGCATCCAATTGCCGTTGCAGGTCATCATCCATTTCCCTTTGGAAAGCCAGTTCGTTCAGCCGCCAACCTGAGGTAGATGGGAATTCTTCTTTGAAGGGTAAGAATGGCTTGATATGATTGTATGCTGCGGGCGAATTCAAGGCCCATTTCTCATGTCCACAACGACCAATGTAGAGTTTGTTGCATGACGGTGGCAACTTTTGCGCGACGTTGTGCCACTTGTATCCTATGCTAGTAAGATAGACGTACTCAAAATGAGCATACTGCAACTTTGGCTGCTGGGAGAGGAAGTCGATAAGAGACGGTGTTTCCAAAAGGAGACTTCGTAGCTTCAAAGTTTTCAATGCCGGGAAAACTAATGGTGTATATGTGGAGGCGGGAGCACTGACGCTACCAAAGAGCTTTTCAATGTAGTGCTCTCCCACATCCGGTAGTTGTGGATGTGATGTAGTTATGTTGCGAAACTCAAGCGTTTGTAATGTCTGCGATGCGTGACAAATCAATGAAGCAAGCAATGAGCCTTCGTTGTTTGGAGACTCAAGTAGAAAATCCACACTCTCGGCGTTGAATGAGAGTGTAGTGAGAGAGCTGAACATGTGCTCCAAGGCGGCACTCGTTGTTATAGAGGACGGATGAATCTTCGGGAGGACTAGACTCTGGATGCGACTATTTGACGCTTGAAGAGCAGAGCTTAGCAGTTCGAGGTGCTTCCAGGTCGTGCTACATCCAGAGAACTGTTCACTCACCTCATTGCTGACTACGTTAGTCTGACGCTATCTAGATAGTAGTTTAGTCGTACTCACTCAACGCCGTCTACGAACCCATAGTCACTCAAGTCGCAATGCCACTCTTGGATTTCGATAGCTTTCAAGCTCGGCATGTGGGCGAAAAGTTTAACCAGTGCCGCTAGGATTGCGTCTGCCCTTTCGCGCTGCTCCTCAACCTTGGAGACCCAGATCGCTTCCGCCTGCTCAATCAAGTTCCGCTCTTTACCAGGTCTTGCCAGTCGTTCCTCGGCGCGACGACGGATACCAGCATATTCGCCAGCATATTCGCCCTCGGAATCCGTCTCGAAGTCTTCTGCTTCGTACATACTGTGGAAGTCTTCCTCGTAGTCCACCTCCCTCTCTAGCCATTGGCGATAGTTCGACCAGAAACCTTTAAAAAAAAAACAGGTCAGTATCTGCCTGGCCATGGATAGAATATCCATAGGCCCAACTTACCATCTACGTAGTAGCCAGGATTGAACTTTAGCTTGCGAACATGGCGCGCGATGTCCAGTGCCAACAACTCATCCACAGTACTTTCCAGAGAACCAACTTCCACCGTCCGTGAACGACCTGGATGAATGTCACACCGGCCATCCTCCACTCGACCGAATCCGGTCTGGGCTGAGCCGTCCAAATGGATTGTCTGGAACATCAACGACTTTGTAAGGGTCGCGAAAGTGCGGCATGTTCGAGACACTAAGCGTAGATGATGCTGGGGCAAGTATGAGAAAATCTCGAGATAAAGTTCCTCAGGCAGTTCCATGATGGTCTGTGGGTACGAAGACTGGAAGATGACAGGCAACTGTTATATAGAATATGGACAGGCGTCGTTCAGCGGGCAAGGGCGTGACTGCGCGATGATTTCGCGATATTAGCCTGTTCGCGCGAAGGAGCAAGCGGCGAGGCAGCGATCCCAAAGGGAACAGTTATATGGGCGACGCAAGCTAATACATCTAAGTGCATGTGTAGAGACACGATTATTGGTGGGGTTTGCAATCGTTGTTGGTGTTGAGGACATAGTGCCAGGCATCAGCGGCGCCTAGAGATCTGGCGATAAAGTGCGGGGCGTTAGCGGCGGATCGCCATGCTCCCTACAGTGCCCATGCACTGAATGTCCATGTTCAGTTAATGTCCGGGCAATAACACAACGTCCGCTTCGTCTGCGTATCTCAGCGCGTCTACGTTGACACTGTGGCGCTGACTTATGATGCTAAAGAAATGTGTGTTTGGGCAGCGCATGCAGCGTGCACGTTGGGTATTTCTATGGTCTATCGTTACAATGACCCTGCATATACCTCACTCTTTTCCATTCACTTAACCACAACAGCAACGACAGCGACAACGATTCCAATAGCAGCGATACCGAGGCCTATTACATGGGCGTATTCCACAATGTATGTAAACCATGTCTTCTTCACATTGGCTTCGTTTGTAGTGACAACTCTGGTTGTCCGGGGTATCGGACGATTATCGTGAGGATTTGAATTGATTGGGGGTATAGTGTAGGCACGTTGCGGCGGATGGTAGACTGGTAGTATAGTATCGAGGTTGCGCATGGTGATGCTGACTGTTCACAAGTCAATATGCAGATACAGCCAATCATGGACGAGGGGACTAACTCTATGCGTCAAGGCTGGTGGGTGATGACAACGACGCTGAGCAGCAGCGAACCTCGGGAAAAACAAAGACAAAACTCGTTATTGTGTGGGTATCTTGACTGATTCCTTCCTAAGAATATTCAGAAGAATCGGATGTGCAAATGCCAGCTTGCTGCTGTCTTTATTACAACAGCCTACTATTTGGAGAGGGAGAAGTGCTCAGACGGGTGACCCAGCACGCGGCGGAGACAGGACGGATGGGGATTAATACCACGGTAGAGTTTGAGCTGCAGTGCAGTGCGAATGGAGGCGCTGCGAATGGAGGCGCAGCGCATGGCCTGGGAGCGTGTAAATGGGGCACCAATTGCATCACCGGCTGCTGACGGTCTCCTTTCTTAGGCAGCCAATAACATAGATGGTACATGATCCCATACCTATTCCTCAATGCTTAACTCGGTTAGTCGACCAAAATCTGGGTTCTTTCGCTATTTCTACGTCGACCTGCGTGAAGGCGTAGTTGAGACGACCAAGACACGGAATCGTGAGGAGATCATGTCGCTGCAGGCTGAGCCATCCTTCTAATCGCTAACAGGCACCCATGTAACCTCCTGGTAATTGGCCAAAGTTGCAGCGGATAAGCTTAGAGAATCCCGATACCATTGTAGATAAGCAGTGGACTTCGACTTGAAAAGGTCTACACTTTGCGCCTTACGACTTGTTTTGGTAAGCTTAGAGGATGACCTACAGCCTTCGCCTCATTCAGATTGTCTGTGTTCCATACGACTCAACCTCAACGTGTCTACTGATTGGCATTCTTTTATTGATTTATGGTAAAAAATTGCACGACAAGTCTATCCCGGGCGAGAAAACACTCGAAGCAACGACTCCAACTCCCCACACCATCTCCATATCACCTTCAACGAATGACATATCGCATCCGCATACACCAACAACAATCTGTTCCATCATTCCCAGCGAACGCGCGCATACTGCTTTCCTTTCATCCTTCCCTCGTTTCCCACCACTGTACATTGAGTACAACCACAATGATATACTCTCATCTTCCCCATTTCTCCGTCGCGAAGGTGACAGTACTTAAGACGACATCCCAGATTTGGGCAGCACATTGAATACGTTCAAGCCAGAGGTCAAATTTGGAAGTCTGGTTTGGTCGAGGCGATTGCTCGACATCCCTCAACAAGTTGTGGCAATGATGGCAACAGCTAAAGCTACCTGAATCGAGTCGTCTGGGATACACAGGCTCAGGCACGATATGATGCATTGGTAGTAAAGAGTTAGTAGGATTGAGACTATGCCTGGCCATTCCTTCAACTGCCATGAGTTAGCGTGACGGTACCTAGGTACAACCAATCGGATTGGGTGGCGAAACGCGTAACGCGAATTTACCTACATCGATGTCTACGAGTATTTGTCCCCTTCCGAAGAACACCCCAGTAACAAGTCGTAAAACGATAACCAAAGTCCAGCTCCCTGTATCCTCTTTCTCTGTGTTCTTCCTGGCAATCTCCAACGCCGCTCCTTTTATATCGAAATGTCCTTCCAGGGTTGTCGTGTTTAACAAGCGTCCCATTCGCGCTGCCGCGCATGGTTTTCTGCGATGCGGGGCCCCTACCGATCAGCAATGCCCAGGTGCTGTTGCCCGTTGAACGTCCCCTATGCCTCCTCCAATCATATATGCTTACACTCACTGACCGACTTTTGTAAGCTAGTCTTCATTTGAAATTTGCCTCGGCACGTTTCCCAGTAAGTGCCTAGGCGTATTCTATCATACACTGTACCACTAACATTTTAGCGAGAGTCACGTGAAGCGGCTGTTGCATCGTTCTTCACCAGACCTCGTGGTATGTGCTGCAGAACATCCAAGATTGTTGTTTTTCTTGCTTCCATTGAGTATGAATTTTCCGGCCTTTCTCCACAATCATCTTGCACACCCGTTCTATAAAAGACTTCTTGTGTTCAAAACACACCCTACTAGGCTGAACACATGAGCCAAGGCTTTCGTCCAAAAGTCACTTGATTACAACAGCGATAACAGAGACAACCAGTCCAACGATTGTAAACATCCCAACAACATACGTGAACCACCGTTTCACACCAGGCTCTGGAAGAAGAACAAGTCTAATCGATTGGTTGTTGTAAGAATGGAGGCCAAGTGAGGGTAGAGTGTAGGCGCGTCGGAGTTGAATATTCGTAGGTAGTATTGAGTCCGTATTGACACTCTGAAGTACTCTAGTGCCGTTATCGGCTAGTTGAGCTGTCGTAGCGACGGGCGAAGACATGGTGGTGCGATGAGGCACCTATGTATCTCCGTTAACTACAATAGGTTAGCATGGCACTGCATCAAGTTAGAGGATAGTGCAAACATAGGCTAAATCGAAGACGGTGGTAGGCATGAGTAGCCGCAACGCAGAACGTGAACTAGAGAAGGCCTGAGGTATGGTTGACATTGCAGCTTTCCTGGGACAGGTCTCTGTTTCTCTTTTCTTTCTCCACGTTCTGTACACGATCTTGAGAAGATCATTTTCCAGGGCATGGGGGTCAAACGCCAATCGATATAGCGAATGTGAACCTTGGCGTGCAGCGGCTTTGTCAGAGTGAGTGAAGCCGCACAAACATCTGGCCGATCACGTGTCGATCTATGCTGTCACAGTGCTGCAAGGTTCGCTACCAAATCTTTACCTAGGAACCACTCAACCTTACCGAATAACACGGCCATATGGACCTTCACTGCAGCTTCAACAACCTGATTTTCGCTAGAAGTTTGGCAGCAAAGTTTTCCTGCTCTGTCAGCTGCATCAGCTTGTCTCAGTGCGTCTTCTATCGACATTGTGGCGCTGAGTTGTGGTATTGTAGAAATGTGTGTTTGGAAGAGCGCGTACAGCGTGCATACGGACAAGAGTAGTTACTTTCTACGATACTCGATACTCGAGTAGGCTACAATTTCTCAAGCAAGGCACACAAGAGTGACTAGTCTCTCATGTTCTGCAGGACAAAATCTACTTCGTCTTTTGCAGCTTCGAGTATGTGCTCCGCCTTGTACCGTGGCATCCAACCAATCTTAGGGCCATTATCAGCAGCCAGCGTGCATCTGAATAGCAATTAGCATTCCTTACTCTTCCCCTTCATACGACCGGAATAGACTTACAATCCACCGAGCTGGATTCTCGCTGGAATTCCATCAAGGATTTCTGCCATCTTCTCCTGGGTCGAATCGTCCGCATCCTTTACCGTCTTATCTTCAACGACATCTCGCTTCTTAAGCTCAAGGCTGTACGCATTATAGATGTCGTCCCAGGCAACCGGACCAGAAGAAGCGATGTAGTAGCCGCTCTTACCATAGCCTATCGACCTTTCCTGAAGCATTGAGCGGATCAGATCAAAGTATAGACTAGTATTATCCAGAACATGACAGACAGGCCAGGTTGGCCTACCTTCGTCGACTCGATACACCTGACGGAGTTTCTTGGCGGCTTTGATGATAGCAACGGTCTGAATCGAGGTCTTGTTCCCAAAACCTTCTCCCTTTCCATACACAATGCACGGTACAAAGATATAGCTACGCACACCATGTGCTTCCGCCACCTCGATCACGTTGCAATTAGCCTTGAGAGCTGGACCAAAGATCTTGAGTGGCGTGTGGTCGATTGCGCGTTTTTGTAGTGCATAAAGATCCGGGTGAGTGTCGGGCAGGGGTTGCTCTGTCGGCATTCCAACAAATTCCGAAAACACTTTCGCGCCGGTGGTGAATAGGAAGTGCGTTTGGAGACCGGTCAGTTTTTTGACCTCACCTAGGCCAGCAATGGAGTGTGTGGAGAAGGTGGTGTCCATAACATCATGGAGATGTAAGACGATCGTGATCTTTTCGTGTATAATCGTTTCTTTGATGCTTGCTGGGTTTGATGCATCGATAGTAAGAGGCGTGGCATTGTATTGCTTGACTACACTCGCTTGCTCCGATGAGCGCACGAGAGCGAACAGCTTCCCGTAAGAAGGTAGCTGTGCTTCGTTCCAGCGCGCAAGAAGCGTGCCGCCGAGATAGCCAGAACCGCCTGTTAAAAGAATGTTATGAGACATCGTAGCAAGTTGAAGGAGAACCGATAATGATGCATGAACTGCGGTAATGTATGCGAAGGGTACGCGTATTTATAGAAGATGTAATGTATCCCATGGATCTAACCTACTAGAATGTGCGCAATCTGCTAATCGTCATCGTTTCCGTGTACTGCGAATATACGACAAGATTCGAAGCTATTCGGGATTCAGTCCTGACTGGGCTGATGCATCTTGCTTGCAGTATAAGGCGTGCCGCATGATTTGTAACTTGAAGCTATAATGTGTTGTACTCTCGGACGAACAATGACAACAGGATCAGAGTATTAGCTACGCGCACAGACAGAAAATGGATTAATTCGTAGGAGAACGTTAGGATAGCCAAAAAGGAAATTCTGCTATACCGCTTACAGGACCCCGTCTGCCTGTGCGAGACTCCTCACTACAGGATTGTTGATTGTTTTGGTGTGTCGGAGTCGGAGTGAGGATCCGTACGAACTTCGGCTCGGTAGAATACCTAGGTAGGTACTATGGCTTTGTTGCCCCTAACCTTCAGCCTAAGGCATGCATCCGATAGGCCTAACGACTGAACCAACAAACCGTCTAGTACGCGCGAGAAGCACCACCCTTCGTTTGAGAACCTGCTGAAGTGGATTCAAAGTTTTTTCCGAACAGGCTGTCGTGTACTGCCCGTATGTGTAGAACTGCCACTGCGAAACATCTGTTAAATCTTCATCATTTTTCATCCCAGGTTTCGCGATCGGTCTGCATGCGCTGTCCATACTCACGGTGGTAGGAGACATGCCGTCCGTTGAAGTTCCGTTACGTCATTTCATGCCTGCTAAATCCTCACAACAACCGCGCGATTCCGCAGCCGACATCGCCATCGCCATCGCCATCACACACAGAAGTGATCTCGAAGGGCAGGGCAAATCCGCATCGTGTTTATCATGTCAGGACATGGGCACTAGCTACCCTAGCTAATATGTCCGTGCCAAACTGATCACCCAACGCGCTGACTCAAGCGGCGCGATAATATCGCGAATGATTGACGGATTTATTTGCCGATGATTCGATCTTTATAGCCGATTTAACTCCTATGCAGTTTTCTCTAGTCTCTGGTCTTTCGCATCGTCTCCTTCTTTTCATCATCTAATTTTTAATCTTAATTTGCGGTCGCTGCAATACTCGTCGCCGATGACTTCAACCATGGCCAGTCACGATACCTACAAGCCACCCAAAGAACCATCGCGAGTCGATACATCGGCAAAACTCTACGACAGTCACGAAGTGCCATCTTGGTACGCACACAACGCCTGGATAACCACCGGCTACCGTCCCGTCACAAAATCGATACCCCTCTGCATCCGCAGCCTATCCTACCTGCACAACGAGACCGTCAACATCTACTCGCATCTCATTCCTGCCATCATCGTTCTTTTGGCCAGCTACTCTTTTGACCGCTATTTCATCAGTCGCTTTCCGCAAGCGACGTGGACCGACGAACTCGTCTTTCGAATTTTCCTAACTACGTCTGTGATATGCTTCGGTACTTCCGCTGCGTATCACACGCTGATATGCCATTCTGAAACATTCGCTAGCCTGTGGGTGAGACTGGATTATGTGGCGATTATAGTTCAGATCGTAGGGAGTTTTATACCCGGCCTTTATTTTGGGTTTTATTGCGAACCGCAGTTGCAGAAGGTATACTGGTCGATGGTATGTATAGAATGATATGCGACGGTACATACGATGGCTGAGAGATTCTTCCAGATCATCACATTAGGAACTCTAACAGCGACTATGGTCATCAACCCTAGCCTTCATGGTCCGAAATGGAAAACCTTACGCCTGTCAGCTTTTGTCGCTACAGGCTTTTCGGCTTTTGCGCCAATCATCCATGGCGCGTTACTATTCCCTTATGGTCAGTTTGACAAGCAAACTGGTCTGCGTTATTACTACCTTGAAGGTGTTCTGATAATGATGGGTGTTTGGTTCTATGCGGTAAGGCAATCATGTTCAACACCACCACATTTCTCTGCAATGAAGTGTTGATTGACGAGCGTAACAGAAACACTTCCCAGAGTCTTGCAGACCGAAGAGATACGATATCTTTGGTGCATCGCATCAGCTGTTCCACCTCTTCATCGTTTTAAGCGCTATAGCGCATTATTACGGAGTTATGAGCGCCATGGAGTGGAACTATGTGAACCAGCGCTGTCAGTGGTCGTGAGCACGCATGTGTCTGACCGACGTATCTTCTCAAGTTCACTCTTACCGTCAACGTTTATGCCAACCTTCTGCAACCGCCACCTCCAATCTGGCTGCCTTTACCTATCTGCAATAACGACAACGCCAACGTCAACAAAGAAAAATACAGATTAATGGACACAGCGAGACTCGGACTTGCATGTCCCGCATCACGACCGCCCGGTGGCGAACTGTCGCAAATTCTGTGCTGAGGGGCCCTCATGCTCAATTCCAGCGAATTCATGCCGGGCGACGCTAAGGCCATTGTGTGCGGGCGCCTTACCATTAGGCTATATGTCCTGGCCATTTCTTGATGAGAGACTTGGGAAATGACAGATAGATGTAGAGTAAAGGTAGATGGGTTGATCAGGAAGGAGAGGTTGGTGTAGGTTGGCAGCGTCAGGCGAATTGTCTGGCAATCTGTCCTAGCAGCATCGATGCCATTTAATCCCCCCCTATTAGCAGATATGAATCAATAATTCGCAACGCCCCCGACTAATTGTTGGTTGTATCTCTATCGTTCCACCGTTCCGCATTCTTTGCAGACCTCACAGGCCTGAGCTCCTCCATCAAAAGATCACTTTGTGAATCCTTTTGTATTCTATTGCTCTTTATCCGTTGCCTAACAACGCCAACTTCAGCTCTGGCTCCGCTTTCGTCCGTTTTGACCGAAACAGCTTGATTAGAAGTACCTTCGGTCTTCATTTGCTTCTTGATTTCAGAGTCGGTGGCCAGGCCCGCCTGGCTGAGATAAGGCTCGGTGACTGCGCTTATGGTTTGGGCGATGGTGTGCCAACTTTCCCAAATCAGCGTGTTTTTAGTGCTTTTGATGAACAGCATGAATATTAAGAATACGGCGACGCTATGTATAGCTGTGGCGATCATGACTATGACATATGATCGTGTCGCTCCGGCAGGGTTGGTTGCAGGTCGTCCATTACCTCCGGGCACCTGCGCTGTGATGAAGTCACCACGTAAGGTGGCTGTACTGTTTGGTGTGCCATCGGGAACTTCAGTGAAGACGTAAGACTGGTAGTCTGCCAGTACAACGCTCATCAGCATGCTTTGCATTGCTTCCGCTGGGGTTCCGCCTTCTTGTAGGACCTCTAACCCAAGTCCTTCGATATTATAATCTGCACGAGGCTGGAATTCTTTCATGTCGTCCATCAGGTGTAAAGTTGGGTGATCCTGCCCTGGCTCGAAAATCTGACTCGAACCGGTGGTTGAACCAGTGAGAGTTATCATAGTGAGAATGTTACCAAATGGGTATTCTTGGTCGGTCATATTGTCGAAGAGTCGCCAGGATTGTGGATGCAAAGACAAAATATTCCGCTCGTCTGCTAAAAGTTTAGACGATGAAACTAGTTGCTTCCGTACATCATCATAGCGAAACTGACTTCTTTCAACGTCATAGAAGAACGTTGGCTCTTCCAGAGGCGCTCGTGACGTTACTGATATGTTGAGAACATAGGCACGGAACACTGGAAAACAGAGACTGAAGCTTAGCTTGTTATCTGCGAAATTGTTGCCATGCGACCAGTCCAGAACATCTGCGTCTTGTTTGAGGTCGAGCCATTCATTTCTGTCATGATAGCGTAGTCCCGGAGTTGTATCATTGAAGTTTGCAAGTTCCAAGGGTGGAAATTTCGTGTTGTTCTGGACTTGTTGATCGACATAACCCGTGTAGTTCATTAGCAGAAAAGGAGTGGATGTGCTCGAGAAGTTCTTCCAGAAGGGGCTTTTAATCTCCCCATAACCTGCCGGTCCGATATCGCAAACGGTTAGATCCCAGGCAGAGGTTCGACCTGCAACTTTGTCCTGGCCGTAATCTCTTACGAAGTTCCACGACGGCTCACACGCAAACGCGGTTGGCTTGAAGCCCGTAAAGGGGGTCTCGGCCAAGAGGACTGTTAGCAGGTCGTCTGGAATCGAAATATTCCCATGAATTTTGAGGTCGTAAGTAGTATTGGCTTGTACCCGAGTATTTGTGATATTTGGCCTAATACAAATCGTGCGCGCATCGACGACGGGGGCTGGACCTTCGTAGGTATGGATGAAGGACCGAGACCGAGTATCGCTAAACGGCAAAAGCGCTCTCATCGTCGAGCCCGTGTCTGAGTAGCCTATAGACCCATCAGCCGAGTCGTTTCCTGTATATTCGGCAAATATTGGCCACGGCCGTGGAGCGCTCCGCCAGTTGGCAGTCAGGCTTCCCCTAAACAACAACTCCTGAGGAAGCACATATGCGTAAGGTGAAAGACCACTACTCAGGTTAACATGTTGTCTCGTGACTTCCAACAGATCCTTGAGATGAGCCTACCTCGGAATAAAGCCTGCATTCACGTCGGCCAGCAGAATCGTCGATGTAAACTGAAGGGAGACAGTTGTGATCGATATGATGGCAGCCCACACAAGAAGAACCCAAGTTGGTCCGTTGCGACCGAGCCTCGGATATGCTAGCAGAGCATACGGCGCCGCAGAAGACGCACGCATCAAAGATAGAGGTGCTAGATCTTGCAGGGCAACTCCGGTAGTGCTTTCAAGCGCGATAGCGGCAAGCATAGATGACGCGAGGCCGGCTTGCACAGTAGTTGATGTTCGAAGCACAACAGCCGCAATAGCGACGGATCTCGTCATCCAACCAGACAGAGCGATGTTTTTCCAATTCTTGTTGCCACTTGCGGTAAACCAGAGAAAGGTGATGTAAATGATGAATGCCGCAGTTCCAAGGATGCTGAGCACGAGTAGAGTGTAGGGCCACTTGCCGACTCTGCGCACAATCTGGGTGACGTGTTATTAGGTTCAGGTATGCAGGTCCATTTTGCACGTACTGTTACGGGTTGCCCTTCATGCATTTCTGCCTTGTGGGCAGGAACTACGGTTGTTTGGACATCTTTATTTTTGTGTTGTTGTGCGGCATTGACCAAGTTCTCGTTCGCTACGCTGAAGTTCTGGTATTCGTGTTGTTGTATAGAAACGCTGGAGCGCTCGCTTGCCACGCTGACATCCTGGTATTCGTACTGTTATACAGAGGCGACATCCTGGTCTTCTTGCAGTCGTATAGGGTTGTTCATATCCTCCCTAGTTTGTAGAGCATCATAGCGTGATGCCATGCTGTACGGATATACGAATCGAAGAGATGAGACTGTGGGAGAAGAACAATGCTCTTGCAGACACTAGCCTGCTTTTAACCCACTCCATCAACAAAGGGACGACAGATATGCCAGGACATGAAGGTTGAGCAACGTGCCGTACGTCTGCAGTATGACGAAAATACTGCACCAGGTGAATCCTAGATGCGTGGTGGGGGCTTGGTGTGGGGGCCAAAAGATCCATTGGCTATGTATAGTAAACACCAATGAGACCATACCTACCATCGCTCGCTTTAGCGCTCTTCATTTAAACAAGAAAGGAATCAACCAGTTTGTATCCCCTACACCACCATCCTCCTCGTCATCCACTCCCCAAACCCCCCCTCAGCAACACTCTTACTAAACGCAATCCAAAACGCCTGTTTCTCACTCACAGGATTAGCACATCTCTCCACCATCGCCTTCACGTTAATGCTCTCCAGTCCCTTGATCGCCATAACCTGCTCCGCCCACTCTAAATCCATGCCCCCGAAATCACCACCACCACCAAGCGGACCGCCAAGCCACTCGTTCTTCATACGCAGCATGGTGTCAAAGTCGCTGGGCAGGATGGGCGTTATGGACTCCCAGCCGTGATCAGGCTTGCCGGATATGACGTTCAGAGTAAGGCTGCGCAGGGAAACAGGCGCAGGAATCTCGGTTCCGTCGAGAGCAGACTGCGGCGGTGTAGCAAGGTAGTCGCATAGACTTGCCCATTCCGCGCGGTCGAACTCTTTGCTATATGGCAGCGCTTTCTTCGTCACGCTGAGATGGCGTAGAGCGGCACGGCTTCGAGGTGTAAGGTCGGAAAGGAATGGCACTGCAGCTTCGATGCTGGTGTGGAAGGAGAATGTGTAGGTCGAGTAGAGGATTTTGCTTGCTTCGGCGTGGATTTGGTGGTTTAGAGATAGCAGGGAGGGAACGGTGTGGCGGAGGTGCGATGTGTAGGGGGAGAGGAGGACGCGGTACGTTGTTGGTGTTGTGGTTGTTAGAAAGGGCCCTGCGAATCCATTAGCACATTGTCCAGTTCCCTTCACAGATTTCCCCTCGGATTGCTTGTAAACGTACCGGTTCTAATATGGTATGTACTCCTCCGTCTCCATGTCCTTGGACCTTGCACTCCCAACCATGGATCCATAGTGCGTACGCTCAAGGTACACGGATCATTGTTCGTATCTTCGGAGAGGTAGGTATGGAAGTCGGGAATCAGGTTCGCGACTGAGGTTCCGTTTCCGGTCGTGGGCGTCGTCGATGGTAGGAGTAGGTACTCGTATATCATGAGACGGATCTCGAAAGGAAGACGGAGTAGCGGCGATGCTGGGAGAGCGTCGGCTTGGTAGGACGTGGACTCCATGGCAGTAGACGTTTGCCAGGACCTCGATTTATGGCACGATACGTTTTGTGGGTGTAATAGGTGAAGATACGTGTCGGATTGCTTCCCGGATACTGTGTAGTCCTCTCTTCTTCAAATACAGTCGTTGGCGTTTCTCAGCTCCTGTAATTAATCGGTGTGTCGCTCCAGCTGACTACACGTCGTTCCAATCAATCAAGAGAGATACCACGACGCATACGTTTCGGCCCAAAAAGAAAAGTTGCAGTCAATCAGCGCGCGAGTGGGCGTTCTGTGATTTTTGCTTGTGAGCGACTCAGGGACCATCAAGGTATCACGAAGTCGACGCTTGGGAAAACAGCGCGTACACGCCAGAAAATAAATTCCGACAGCACCATGATGACCTTGACGCATGAGTCGAGGGAGCTTTACCTAGAAAAGTAAGACCCTTGGTTTCTATCCTTGCAAACGGATTAGTCGTGGATCATGGCGGCAGTAGCGCGGAGATAAAGGTCTTGACTGGAATGACGTTCCGAGCATGCCTAGGTGTTATCGCGTTGGTAATGTTGGCGGTGAGCAAACATCGGCCGGCAGTGTTGTCTCGTTGAGATGCCGGTGTTCATCTTTTACGGCCGTACTGTTATATATAATACATGGATTCGTGCCTCTTTTCTACTCTTCGAGTTTAGTAAATGTGTCAGCTAGGTTCAAAGGCTGGTGTGCTGACGCAAGTAGCGATATCCGCCTACTAGATACCCTGCAACAGTACACACTCTAGACCTCTCTCAATCTCACGTCGATAAGACATGATATCGCGCAATACTCTGATAACGCTGCCCGATGAATGCCGAGACGGCTCGCGATCTTGCATAAACGCTCTTCTATCGGGCCTTTCGGAAACGACTCGGAATACATGCCTTAGGCCCACGTGCGTATGTCATAGCGTGGCGGATGGTCAAAGAAAACGAGAAATTTCTCAAAAGGGCCGCCGAGCTTGCGTCAAGGTTGCGTGAGCAAGCAAGCGAGAATTGTTGAAGGAGAAGAAGCGGAGGCAGGATCGCCGGTTTCTCGGCCAAAAAAGGTACGTACCTGCAGCTCGCTAAAATCCTTGCCAAGCTTTCAAGTGTAACATGTGAAGTACCCGAGTACCTCGCTACGACAAGCACGCATAGAGGTAATACCAAAGTCGAGAGGAAAGCGCGAAGTTGCTCCATGTTCAATGATATGCATTGCTCAGCTGTAGTAGCAGCTCAACTGTAGTAGCAGCTCAACTGTGAACGCCATCGAGCTACCTTGCTCTGCTCTTTACCCCCTTAAGTCCCTAACCATACCCTAACACAGTAGTTTCCTTCTCAAAGTACCGGAGAAGGAAAAAAGCCGACTACACGCAAAATCAGACAAACAAGAATCTTTTTGACTTTATCCCTCCCTTGCGGATTTAAACGCCTCGCGACTGAGCACGTAAATAACCAATGGCATGACATGGACCTAGAAAAAGAGAGGATGCAAGAGAGGAACAAGAGAGAAGAAAGGAGATTGTCATAATACAAAATCTGAGGCCTATCAAGCGTATCATGTAAACATGCTTCTTCGTGCCATCAGTCAACTCAAAGTGGACGTGAGAAAGAAAACAATGACCCTTTGTCGTACAAGCTCGTCATGATGATATGGGTAGCCCATATTCTTCTTAACAACGTGTCAAGTCTCTCAAACGTCTTGGATTTGCAGGAGACGGATCTAGTGCTGGCCGTAGTTTCCGCCCCAACCTCCGCGGTTGTAGCTACCGCCGTATCCTCCAAATCCGCCGTAGTTGCCATAGCCACTCTGCTGCTGATGGCTACCGGAGTTCTGGTGGCCTAGACCACCGAGTCCGCCATACTGGCTGTTGCCAAGGTGGTTCGGGTAGTTGCCGTAGCCTTGCTGAGGGTGTTGGGGTCCGCCCTGTCCAGGGGTGCTTTGGTTGGCGGAACCGGGGCGACCGGGCTGAGCACCGAGAGCCGATGGGCTGGGTCCACCGCTCTTGTAGTCGCTCGAGGGCTTTAGGGCGTCATCGTTCAAGCCTTGGCTACCCGACTGTCCATAGGAGCTTTGGTGGAAGTTTCCTGGTCGAGTAAAGGTATCGGGAATGGCACCGAATCCAGCAGCAGCAGAGTTGGCAGTGGCGCTGGGGTTCTGAGATGCTCCAGAAGCTGAGCGACCGTAGTCACCGAAGCCTGCACCCATACCACTGCCGCGATCGTGGAGCGAAGAAGCGCCGAAACCTCCTGCATTGGCGGGTGAAGCCGAGTGCTGGTCGAACGAAGCTTGGGGAGACATGCCGTAGTGCTGGGGTTGACCGTACATGCCGCCCTTTCCGAACGAACCATAGCCTGCTCCTCCTTGGCCGTAACCACCGAATTGGTTCATGTAGTTAGCGTAGTAGGGGCTGCCATAGTATGGGTGGTTGTATGGGTAGCCCGCACTGTGACCGTGCTGCGCGTGCTGGCCTTGAGCGCCATGTCCCTGACCTGCCATAGCAGCCGGGTTAGGGGTGTTGTGACCGCTGTTCTGAGCGTCACCGTAACGGCTCTGAGACTGAGAATGTTGTTAGCAAGGGATAATAGAAGAATACAGAATTCTGCGTGAGCTACTGTCCCTACTCCGTCCGTGTCGTTTGCCTTTCCCGTCTCGAGCAACTCATTCAGATGAGACATTCGGATTCGTTTGGCATAACGATCGTGCATGAGTATGGAGAGCGCAACAGGTTCACTTACTTGTGGGATCTGACTCTGTGAATAAGCCGAGTCAGTAGGTCCAGAGCCGAATGCACTGCCAGTACGCTGCTGAGCAGAACCGGCTTCCTGCTGGCTCTGCGCAATGGGCTGACCGTAGCTTCCATAGTAGTTCTGGTATTGCGAGCGTTGCTCGGAAGTAAGGTAGTTGGAGGGGTAGTTGTCTGGGGCGGAGGAGAAAGCACCAGGCTGAGACGGGGCCTGGCTTTGACCAGGGTAATCGTAGTTCTGCGACTGCGAGTGGTTCGACGCTGGGATCTGCTGGCCGAATGGATCGTATGGCTTCTGCGGTGGCGCGGAGGCCTCCGAGTGAATACCTGGCTGACCGTACCTAGCAAACTGGTTGTAGGGCTGGTTGGACTGAGATCCTTGGTTCTGCATAGCTTGAGATCCAATGGGGTTTGAGGGAGACTGCTGCAGGCTGGGTTGGTGTTGGGGGACGGGAGGGAGTCCAGGGGCCTGCTTTGGTGTAGGGGCAGACTCTTGTTGGGGGGCATCTTGAGATGCTTGGCGAGGAGCGGGAGGGAGAGAGGTCTTGGGCTGGGTAATGGGGGAGTGTTGGGGCGGCTGAGTCCTGGTCTCTGCCTCTTCCCTGTCTTCGTCGACATCTGGGTCCGAGCCTTCGCCCAATCCCATGCTGCCAAACTGAACTGCAGCCCTGTCTACGGCGTGGTTGCCGGGCATGACGACTGCCTCCTGTTGCTCCATCAACCTCCTCTGGTAGCTCGCGCTTCGGTGTGGGGTACCAGAAGTCGCCTTCAATGCGGTCGTCTGGAATCCTCCAATTGCGGGACGGCCAATAGGTGCTTGTGTAGGACCGTTCAATGGGGTCGCTACTGCACTCCCAATATCCTTCGAGCTTGCGACAGTGCTGAAAGCTGTCTCGGTTGGAGGTGGATGGGACTCGTCGGGCAGATGCTCGACGTTCTCCTGTGTTAGCTGATCTCCAGAGGGTGTGAGGGTGACGTCAGGTGCAGCATCGTCCACGCTCTTGTCTGGCGTCATCTTGGACGTGTCTTCGGCCGTGATGGGCGGGGTCTCGACGGTCTCATCTGCGACAGGGGGTATAGGCAGTTCTTCTGCCTGCACGGCGGGCTCTTGGGCAACTTGGTGCGCGGGCGTCTCGTCGGGTGCTTGTGCGGGCACTTCGGGGGCTGGAGCAGCAGCAGGTTTCGGTGCTGCCTTGGGAACTGCGGGGACGGGCTTGGGTGCAGCAAACATACTCGCCCAAGTCTTCTTCGCGGCTGTCAGGCCAGCCTCTACAACAGGCTTTATGGCTTCGGGCGTCGCTTCGGGCGCGTGTACGGTTTCATCGTCCTTTTTGGTCTCGTTGGACTCTTCTGGGACTGTGGGTGTGTCCCACGCAGCGGACTCGGTAGTCGGGACTGATCCAGCAGCCGCACGAGGTCCACTGGCGGCGCCTCCACGACCGCCTCGAATTCCACCGCGACCACGATCAGTGCCCCGTCCGCCACGGCCTCCGCGACCGCTGTCGACACCACGGCGGGCTCCATCGGGCCGGCCGCGCAGACTGGACGCGCCATCGATGGGCACGATGTTCTCCTTGGCCTTGGAGCGGGACCTGTCCTTTGCTTTCTTTGGGACTTCTGAGAATTGCGAGACAGCGCCTGTAGTGCATTAGCCTTGTGCCCGTCGTGTGTACAAATTACGTGATGCAGGCGCAGGGCACGTGGGAGGGTCGCGCTTACCCTCACTGATCTTCTCGATGGTGGTCTGCAGGTCACCGTCAGATTCTTCGATTGCGAGGACGAGATCGGCGTCGGTCCAGTCGGGGAATAGCTCCTTGAGTGTGGATAGCTGTGACTGGTAGCGCTTCTTAAGCTCTCCAAGTTCGCCTTGGTCTGCTGATGTGTCAATGTTGGAGGATGCGCTGTCGCCGTTGGTCTTTCTGGGGCCTCGAGAGCCGTATGATGCCCTGCCGCCGCGGGCAGAGCTCCTGCCTCGCGCAGGCCGAGATGGTGCTTCAGACATTGGATCTGTGTGATGTGTGGGCAAGCCGCGGGGGACTTAGGTGTGTGTGTTTGTGTGGGCGGATTGGTGGGCAGGCGAGGTGATGATGTAGAGGGAGGAGTAAAGTTGGGGAAACAGCTAAAGGGAAGCGACCACGTCGGCTTGGCGCTAGAGCTTCCAATGGCTGAGGACGCGGCAGGGTCGCGTTGGCTGGGGCTGAGGCAGGCTGTTGTTTATGCAGAAGTGAGGTGAGGGCTGAAGGTCAATTGATCTACGAATAGCTGGAGCGTCTCGTCCCAGCCTGCCATGATGCGCGCGTTAAATCTGTCACGTGCGCATAAGGCGGCACCTTCCCGAACCGCCTGGTCCACCCTCGTCATCCGCCTCACTCCACCCGCCCAGACACACCAACACCAACACGAAGCCATGCAGTCTTCCGCCGGCAAACGCGTGCTGAGCACTCTCGCCTCCAAGATCCACCCTCAGCTCCCCCTGTCGCCGCGAGAGTCGCAGCAACTCCTCAACTTGCTGACCAACTCCTTCCGTACTCATCTCGACCACGCCCACCCCCTCGCCCCCTCCGAGAGCAGCCAGAGGAAACCGACACGAGAGTTGACCACCAGCCATGGCCGACGCAATTCCTCTCCAAACCGCCAGACGTCGTCGTACGATTCAGCAACTCAGCACATCGACTCCATCTTGAACAACCCTCTTCTTGCTGTGAAGCCCCGTCGGAGAGGATCAGGGCCGGCTGCCGTAGATATCATGAGAGACCCCATGGCTTGGTTCGTCAATGAGATCGCCGCAGGTTCCGCCACTCTGCCAAAGGCCGCCGTATGTCTCGAGTACCTCGAGAAGACCACGAACCCAAGTCCCTTGAGACTTGAGAACGGAAGATCACCAGCAACTGTACTCGCTGAATGGCTCAAAACCAGCAACTTGGAAAACTCAAAGCAGCTTCTCGACATGTCAATCAAATCGGGGCGCGGCACTCGATTTCTAAACAGATTGGTGGCTCTACTGCTAGCCGAGGGAGAGACCACAGCACTCTGGCGCTGGTTCATTCGATCAAACGAACAACGCGCAAAAGACACCGGACTAGATGTCGCACGGATAGCAACTTTCAAACAACAACTCCTAGCCAAGATGGTTGTACTCTCGGCGGACAACAAAGACGTTACTAGCAGTATGAATGTTTTCATGCAAGCGTTCCGCCTGCTCGAGAACGCAGGATACGAAGCAGCTTATGACGTGCTAAGACCTGCAGGTGGTCATCTTGTAAATCTGATCATTTCCAATCCCGACCATTCAATAGCGCCGCTATTATACCAGAAATTCCTGCTGTCATCAATCCACTGGTTTGGAGACTGGAGTCGAGCGGTCCAGTCCATGCTCTCACTGCACCACCCGACCCAACCTAGCGCAAAACCTGGCCTCAAATTCATCCAGGATCCTGCTGGCGCTATCAAATACTTAAACGCATCTCGGGGTCGACGGAATTTCCTGGTTCAGCTTTGCCTAGGGGTAGCCCGGCAGCTGATGGAACAAGAGAATTTCGCGGAAGCGCAGAGCGTTATGGAGTTCACAAAAGAGCACTTCCCTGAGATAGTTCTACCGACACAAGCGATCGTGCAGCAGCAAACAGCAGAAGAGGAGAGGAAACATAGAGAGAGGAGGAATCTGGAACTACTGGATCGCCTGGTCTTAACTTGAACGGTTTTCTACACACTATTTTACAAATTGTATGCAACTGCGACAGGATCGCAGTTGTTTTTGGGAGGATGTGTCGTATACACGAATCCTTGTGTATAGGCCTGATGGTAGTGCACCGGTGGCCTGGGCGTGCGGGGAGACGCCGTTGCTGGGCAGGCGTCATAACACGCGAGCACAAGATCTGCGAACACGATGTGCGCAATGCTATGCAAACATGATATAATAAATCTCACGATCTCTCACGATCGATTCCATTGCTCTACGAGCTAATCTAATTAAGCCTCCGATTGACTTTTGGTATCGCTAAAAAGAAACAAAAATCGAAATCGAACATGTCGTGTCATCGTGATCTCATTGCCCCGCTCTATGCCTTGAGCTCACCACCGTCGGTCTCCTCTGGCCAGACATCGTAGCCGAAAGTGTCCTTCATGTTGACAAAACGTGTGTGCCGTCCCTTGGCGACCTCCTCGACGGCGTCAAAGTCGGCCTTGCTGAGCTCGGGGATGAGCCAGTTGCTCTCGATGCGCTTGGGCGTGGAGCTCTTGGGCAGGACAACGTAGCCGCGCTGAAGACCCCATGCGAGCAGGACTTGCGCAAGGTCGTGACCGCTTCGCTCGGCAACTTCGTTGAGCTTGGGGTTGGTGCGGACCTTCTCGCCCGTGCTGGGAACTTGGTTCTGGGAGCCGAGCGGCGAGTAGGCGGCGACGAGGATGTCGTTTTCCTGGCAGTACTTGACGAGGTCTGTGTTGGGGAGGAAAGGGTGGACTTCGATCTGGTTGATCATGGGCTTGACCTTCGCGATCTGAAGCAGCTTCTTCAGGCCGGGGATAGTCCAGTTGGAAACTCCGATCGCCTTGGCCTTGCCGGAGTTGTAGATCTCCTCCATGGCGCGCCATGTGGGCTCTGGGTTCTCTGTGAGCTCCTTCTTGATGATGTACTTGCCATCAGCACCCAACTTGGGCTGGTGGTTGTCATCGCTCTCTGCGGCAATGGGCCAGTGGACGAGGAACGCGTCAATGTAGTCAACGCCCAAGTTCTTCAGACTCGACTCAAAACTCCACTTGACCTCCTCGGGCTCGTGCAGGTGGTTCCATACTTTTGTGCAGATGAAAAGGTCCTTGCGTGTGACGTTGGGGTTCTCCTTGAGGAAATCGCGGACGGCGTCGCCGACTTCGCCTTCGTTCTGGTAGAACCACGCGCAGTCGAGATGGCGGTAGCCCGTCTTGAGCGCTGTGGTTACGGCAGCGTACGTCTCGCCAGACGCGCCTTCGCTGGCAAAGGTGCCGAATCCGACGGCTGGCATGATGACGCCATTGGACAGCTTGAAAGACTTCTGGTTCGCGAGGGGGGCCATGATTGCGGTGTTGTGATGCTTGAGATGTGAAAATGTGATGTAGGTTCAAAACAATGAAAGGTGTCAAGTGATTTGAAGATGGTTTATTCAGCGGCAACAGCGCGTGCTGGGACTATTGTGCTACATATATCCAGCGTAACCTTGGTCCGTCTGAAATTTCTTTCTTCAAGGTTTCATCATCGACCATGCCCAACCATGAAGCTCTGCCGGCCGTGACCTCACACCGAGAGATTCCGATCGCAGAGGCATCTCGCAGGCATCGGTCCCATTGCGAAAAAACTCCATAATAGTCCCATCCAACAGTTTCACGTTGGCCCTCTGGTGTTGGCCCTCGTCATCAACAATGACGTCGGTTGTGGATTCAGGGTCCACAGCACGGGCCGAGCGAAGCCATTTTAATTTCTGGCGCGGAAGTTTTGCCGACTTCAACTTCGTTCGCAAGGAAATGTGGAACGATGTAGTCCCAATAGTCGTGCGGCTCTGCCGTTGTCAGCCACTCGTTTAAGCAGATCGCTAGCTGCCTTCGCCCTAATTCGGCGAGCCGCGGTTACCTCGCCCCACCCACTGCTCGTCACTACCAGGAACTGCTGGGAAGTAACGCCGTGTCTGTCTGCAAGCTGCCTGTACCGTCTACACATCCTGCTACAATCGTCTCAGCTATTCCCACATGTCGCATATGCACGCCAACCACCTCTGACAGGCGGTGTACCGTGCCTTATCTTCCGGCCGCGCTCTGCGTCCGGTCAAATGAGGCTCTGCGCTAAGCTTCGACGGCATCGGCGAGAGGTATACAACGCTGTTTTTAGGTGTTGTGGCGACTCACAGCACTACGCTGCTATCGGTCCCCAGTTTTCGGCGATAATACGGCGGTGACGGTATCCTACACATTCTCTGGTTCAGCAAACTTCTCCACTAGTGTTGCCATGCACGGCCACTTCCGCATGGTAATGATGTCGCACTGTGGGTACATAGGTACTTGTTGAACGCTCACAGTGCTAGAACGTGGTTGGTGTGGCCGGCCTGAATCGGGATAGCGAAAAGCTCCTGCGAAACTTTCTAGAAGAGATTGGCGAATGATGATGGCATCTGGGGTTTATGGCAGTCGCTACCTATCGGGTGATGTGATATATAGAGCCCCTCCCCCAGGACCCTGATACTGCTCATTCATCATCACACAACTCCACATCTACTGTCACTCATAGCTTCTGTAAAGCTTGATACTACTATTACTACCTTCTTGATTTGATACCCCATTCTTATATCAAACTTCAACTACAACCGCCATCATGTCTCCCTCCGTCCAAGAGAACGAGGTTCCTCTCACTCAGACCAAGTCCAACACCCAGGTCCCAATCCCCGTTGACAACGAAGATGGCACTGAGAACGCTGTCGAAGTACCAGCAACCCGAAGTGCCATGGCCGACACCACTAGCTACATGCACAACCTCTCTCTCCAGCCTTCCATGAAGGAGAGGAGAGGATCCCGCAACTCCTTCGGTACCTCATTGCCCATCCCTCGTTCCAAGAGGCAATCACGTCTCTCATCCGTTCACTACCCCGATGGCCGTGGTGCTGCTGTCCGCCCTGGCATGCCCCCGATCCAGCCATCCCGCGACATCATCGCTGCTCAGCTCCAGGACCTCGCTGGCGAGAAGGTTCGCGCCGCTAAGGACATGGCCTTCGTCTTCGACATTGACGGTGTCCTCGTCCACGGTGACCGTCTCATCCCCGAGGGTCAGCGCGTCCTCGAGATCTTGAACGGAGACAACGAGCTCGGCATCAAGATCCCCCACATCTTCCTTACCAACGGATCTGGTAAGCCTGAGCAAGCCCGTGTCGACCAGCTCTCCAAGATTCTCCACAACCCCATCTCGACCGAGCAGTTCATCCAGTCGCACACTCCCATGCGTGCCTTGGCCGAGTACTACAAGACCGTCCTCGTTGTCGGTGGAGAGGGCTACAAGTGCCGTGAGGTCGCTGAGCAATACGGCTTCCAAGACATTGTTGTCCCCAACGACATCATTGCCTGGGACCCTACCATCGCCCCTTACCGTGTCTTCACCGATGAGGAGCGCGCGACTTCCCGCCCTCGCGACTTCAGCCAGGTCAACATTGAAGCCATCATGGTCTTCTCTGACAGCCGCGACTACGCCACCGACATCCAGATCATCATGGACCTTCTCCAGTCTAAGAACGGCAAGTTCGGAACCCGTGCTGCGGACCCCGTCTCCGAGCGCATCCCCATCTACTTCTCTCAGGGTGACATGCTGTGCCCTACTGAGCACCCCTTCCCCCGTATGTCCCAGGGAGCCTTCCGCATTGGTCTCGAGGCCATGTACAAGTCGCTCACCGGTGTTGAACTCGAGCGTGTTGTCTACGGTAAGCCCGAATTGGCTACCTACAAGTACGCCGACGAGGTCATCGCTTCCTGGATGGAGACCATCCACAACGACGAGAAGCTGCCCGCCAACATCTACATGATTGGTGACAACCCTGCTTCCGATATCGTCGGTGGTAACATGTACGGCTGGAACACTTGCCTTGTCCGCACTGGTGTCTTCCAGGGTGGTGACAACGACGAGAACAACCCTGCTTCCTTCGGTGTCTTCAAGAACGTCTTCGAGGCTGTCACCACTGCCATGAAGAAGGAGCTCGGCCAGGACTTCAAGTTCAACTTCGACGAGAAGATCAACCCTGTCATGGCTGAGGGTGGCTCTTCTGCCATCGCTTAAGTGTTGATTGGGAACATCAAACGATTGATACGAAGGGCTTTCTTTCCTTTGTTGTAGATAAGCATTTCTCTGGCGTTTATGGGTTTTATATCCTTGCAAAGCGAAGCTAGCACCACTTTATAGATTTTACGAACAATTGAGTCCACGGATTCTTGGTTTCTTTTATAGATTACGATGAATTCTAAAAGTCTTCTACCTCTTTACATCATCGCTTCATTCCATTGCCTCTTTACATAGATGTGATGTCTTCGTCCCAGGTGTAGTCTTTCCATTACCACTCATTTCACTACCTCATGTAAACTTGACATCGCACAGAGTACCATCCATCCTTTCATCTCTACTCCAAAACCGTATCTTCGCTCCCGGTTCGTCATCAAACCCAGTGACTTCTTGGCGCAGTTCCTCTGTTCGCACAGACTATCAAAAGCTCGTTAGAAAAACATCTCATACTCGCATGAGTTGTGTCAAGGTTTACTGACACAAAATGTCCCCTCCATATATAGCTTCCCCTGTACCTACAAATGTCCTCCCAGCCTTCAACTTCTCTTCATTGCCCTTATCATACCTCATCTGTAGCACCAAATTAGCCTCCATCCCACATAGACTCGTCACAACACAAAACAACTTACTTGAATAGCCCCAGCACCACCATCCTTCATCTCCACTCTCACAAGAAGATTTCCTAACCTCCTTTCCTCCGTTATGTCGTCCGCTTTCTCCACCCTTCCCATACTCAGCCAATTTCCCTCGCTCAACTCCGCATCCAATATTCCTTCTTCTTGTTTCAGCACCTGAGCAGCAATCATGCCCGCAGCCAGCGAATCCCAAACACCCTCGCGCCGCCGGTAGTTGAGCAGGAGAGCTAAGGCGCGCCGACGGACGAGCGGATCGCGGCAGCGCGTTGCGATAAGAAAGAGGGGCACCATGGGGGAGAGTTCGAAGGATGGAGAGATTATCTGAGGTGCCAGGCGGGATGTGAAGGAGTGGGGGTAGGAAGTATGGTTGGAGACTGGGTATGCGGTGTTGGAATGGAAGGTTATCGTCAGGTGGGGTAAGGGCGGTGATGTTGGCGGCGATGGCAATGCAGGTGGTTTAGGTTGAGGCTGGAGCATAGGCAACGTCTCCGCGAGCTCAACAGCCTCCCTGAAGTCCCCGATGTAGGCATCCCACACCATCTCACTCGTGAGACCTGCTCCTGCTGCAACGATCGCCCGCATCATGATGGCGTAGATCCGGAGTAAAGTCCCGCCATCCGTCGCTTTCCCTTCGTCCCCCCTTTCCCTTCCTGTATCTCTTTCAGTACCTTTCCTATACTTCCTGTCAAAAAGCCCAAATTTGTGCTGCCACACCACCAATGCTCTTATCGCCCCTTCATACATTTTCCTAAAATCCTTCTTCCGCGTGACCCTTGGTTCCTTATCTAGATTCCCCGAAGTCCATAGCAGACACCGACTCAACTCAACCAGATCGTCTCTTGCCGCCTCATTGTTCAGATAACCATCTTCTGGTGACGAGATTGTCGGGATCTCTGGTGCGGTATCCAACCACCATTCATATGGGGACGTGTCATCGGAAAAAATCATGGTTTGAAAGTCGAAACGATGGAGGACCTTGGCGATGGCATATTGAATGGAAGTTTGGCTTGTTGATGTGTCGGATGAACCAGAGGGGGAAGGTGGACAGTATTGGTGAAGAATACGAAGACCGTTGCGGAGATGCATATTAGCTGCCCTATAGTTTCCGGATAGGTTCTCGAAACAGGTAAAAATGATACAAAGTATCAATGTCTTCTCGATGACAAACCCATTCTTGCTATGACCATCACCCTTTCCATCCTCTTGAAATGAAGAAAGGAGTTCGTTCGAATACCGCACTGCGCGTATGTACTGTACGAGCGCTGCATCACGGGGTATACTACCATCAGTAGTCGGCGAACTGGTGGCAGTGGCTCCACCACTTTCAAGCCTCTCATGTAAACAGCTCAGCGCCAGGATTCCGTGTTTCACAGCAGGTTCCTCATGGGTCAACTGGAGCACCGTCTGACACCATAGGTGAGAGTCAAAGAACTCGGTCCAACGTGGTAGGGTGTAGGTTTGAAAGTAATGGAATGAGCGATTCTCGAGAGGTTCTGGGCTGAGACTTGTTGACGGGCTTCTGGAGATAGTTGACTGGCGGCGCGATTGCTGTTGTTGTTGTTGTTGGCGCTGGGGAATAGCGAGGAAAGAAGAATTGCGGTACGCGGCTGCGGTGGCTGGAGACGTGGAATCTTGTGGCGATGTGTCTCTGTAACCACCACATGTTCGATTGGCTCTTGTGCACCTGTAACATGCTGGTGGTCGTTAGTCCTCATTTCCATCCTAGCTGATTTGCGATATTCGGTTAATTACACGGTTTTGCTTCGTCGCATTTTATGCGTCGCTTTCTAGTAACCAGTAAGTAACTTGCGCATGTCTGCTGAGTGATCGGTGTGGAGCCACTTACCGGCAAGTGTCGCATCCTGTTTTGACCCTCAACTTTAAACTCCTTTCCAACTGCCGCAGTTTGATTTCATCCTCCATAATCGCCCTACTCACGAATGTCTTAGATTCTTCCATATATAATGAAATAGGAAAGTTGATTCGGACCGAACACATCCGAAGCGACGTCCTTGCATAACGAGGCTATCGCCTTACCAGATACTGCATCATGACCCTGTAATCGCAATCCAAAGGGCGCAACGTCCAGTCGATTCACTCGCAAAAGAGCTTCTCGCATATACAATACTACGCGGCTAGAAAGCCGAGGTACGCGTCCAACAGCAAAACTCAACTCCTGTACGATGCGCGGGTGGCCTTGCTTCTATAAGCAAGGCTTTCAATGCTATATGGCAACGATTGCTTACGTGGTACCTCCCTCGGCTATCTTACCCACCCTTGCTTTTATCCTTGTCGGGGCATGCAACCAGGCAGAGGCAGTTTCGCGGAGCTAAGTGCACCTTATTAGCCTTGATCGACCCGACCGCGAATCCTTCAGGATTGTTCAAATGACGTTCCGAATAGTATTTCAAATACAACATGGAACACGGCGGACGGACTGCGGAAAGCGGAAATCGAGAAAATCGGTCATAAGAGAGGCTTCATACGGTCGTTGCACCTGGAACTGATAAATCCTTCCAATGAAGATATGGTTGTGCGTTGACGTATGGAGAATCGGAAAAGACGATTTGAAAGCAGAGAGACCTCGGCATATAGCAGAAAAAGTTATGTTCAACAACTTCGAACAGTTCGCGAGAACCTCAGGCCTGGCAAGCACGAAGGCAACATCTTTATCCTCATAATGGGACAGCCACCAAAGCAATCAGGTTTAAGATGGGTTCGCGATCAAAGATTAGGGTTTTTCCAGGCGCGATGAACAACATCCGTCAGGGAGTAAGGATAGTTTCGCGTCGCTGAATTCGGCACCTTTAACAATAAAAGCTGTGCGTATCTAGGATGGCGATGTCAGCTAGGGTGTCACGTAGTTGTTGTATGGATTTGCAGACCATGACGTAAGAGACCATCAGTAAGGTGCCAGCCGCGACGAAGTGGAAGCGCAAGTCTTCAGCAATCACCGGCTTTCATAATATTTCTCTCCCAATTGCTCCCCTCTGGTTTTGTAGCTGGTCTACGTCCCGATGAATGATAACCAGCGTTGGCCGCAACAGCTCGGCTGTGCTATGCAGGCGTGCAACTCGGGGGAGGCTAGCGCCTCCACATGTCCAATCGCGTTAACATAAGGACACACCTTAGAGGATTAAATACCTCAGCGCCAGGCAGGAACTCTCAGAAAGATAAGTTGTAGAGTTGCACATAAGAACAGCTCTTTCAAGCTTCCTTTGAGTGTCGTTGCTACATATACTGCGTGAGGTTGGATTAATTCACTAGCATCGACGGGCATGACCGCATGTGGTTTGGCCTCCAATTAGGGCCGCGATAGCACCACGCTAATAGTTTGTAGTTAAACCAAGCATCGCATCGCGTTACCATGTCTATTACCATCATGTCTTCTATCATCAACACAAGAACTGATCAGGTTGATGAGGGCATTGAATTAGCTGAGCTGTTTGGCAGCTCTCCACCTCCTCAGCAGATTAGCACCCACACTACACTGCTTACGCCTATTCTACCGCTAGCCGTACACACTCGACCTCTTGCATCAGACCACCATCTTCCTAGCGTCCAAATGAGACTGTCGCGTACCAATAAGTTGACAGTCGTGCCTGATGAGGAGAAGACCTGGTTCGGTTATGTCATAGAGTATGCCTCTGTCGAGTCATTGGCACTGCTATTGGAGTTTCTTGTTGCAGCGAAGTAGATTACATAGGAAAGGCACTTCGAGATGATAGGCGGTATCATAGGTTTGTTGCGCAAGTATTCTTTCAACGGATACTAGGCAGTTATAAGAGTCGTCTATAGGGTGCGTGTAGAATGTAATCGGCGAATTTGTCGTCAAGATAGGCTAGAGAGAGAGACGGTCAATGAAACTTTGCCAAAAAGATAATCAAAGAGGCTTCACAGACACATTGACAGCGAACATACCAAGTTGCACTCTTGTTCAGAATTAATGGTCAGATGTGATCACGATGAGAAAGGTGGTTGCGGAATCGCGCAGTTGTCGCAAAAGTCATCAGGCATGATGTAAGAGAGCATTGACGAATTGCGAGAGAACACTGATAAATTAGAAGGGTACATCGATCAATCGTCAGGCGCGACGGATTCGAAGCACTAGTTTTCAGGCACGAACGGTGAGAGCTACGGGCTCATCTTTCCCATGATCTGAATAACGGCCACGTCCCTGCATGCGTCTAACCATACACGTCATTGTGAACTTCACAAATCTCAGTCTACCACTGCGCTCCACCAATGGAGTTAGAGTTGTCAGGGCGCCCGTTGCTTTAAAGCTCGAGCCGCCTACGCGGCAGGCGCCTGTCAGCTTCATAGGGCTACAAGAGAGCGGCGGCGGCGGAGGGAGGATGCTAGGCTCGACTAGGGTGAGTGGCAGCCACGTTTGGTAGTGCGCAGAGTGAAATGCATGGTGTTTGCAGTAGTCCAGCAGCGGGCACTAGCCACACCGACTACGCTAACATGGGCGCAGTCGAACCAATACCAGACGAGAGTGTCCACCGGTTCCAAACTGTAAGTCTTTCATGGTCAACACTAACATAAAAGTTGTCACGAACAATGCATATATAACTTATTTTCCTGCGCGGTCTTCAAATAGTCCACATTGTTCAATACACCTCAAGCCTTTTACTATCCTATCGTAGGAACACCTAGGTATAATTCATCTCAGTCGCCGTACGTACTTCTCGAGCAGCCTCAGAGGGTCCCAGTTGATGATGCACGGCACCACGCTAAACCGTTCTAGTTGAACACAGCATCGCACCTTACCGCCTCGTGCGGCTCACCATGTCTTCTCCTGCTCCCGCTGCAGCCGGACAACTTGACAATTCTACACCTACTCAGTCGGTTAATGCCGACACTGGACTACCTACGCACCACATACCGTCATTCGACTCCACATCTCCTAGCAACAACGAAAGCCAAACAACATCCTCAAGAGCCATAGCCTTTCCACCTAGGCCTGATGACCAAACACTACACGCCTACATCGTGACGAACTTCACATTGATTACGATCGCCATCGCTGTTGTCACACTCGTCGCTACCGTCGCTGGAATACTCGTCGCTATCGTTCTAGCTGTCATATACAAGTGAGCCATACATGGGAGGGACGTAAAGGGGATGAGGCTAAGGAGTTACCGGAGTTACTTTCTTCAGGGTAGAATTAGGCGTAATGAACATACGATACCCATCTACAAGCAACATGTCGTTCGTGTGCAACTTCTTTCTTCTTTCAATATAGACACATGACACAGACGGCAAGATGAAGGAAGAAAAAGACAATACAATTCATATATCTAATATCCAACCAGCCAGCCAGCTTCCGCGGCCCTCAAAAAGTGTATAATATATCCATTACTCGCTCTTACACGTTACGCCCACGCCAAGTTTACAAACAACCCAAAGAGAAAGTGATGAATAAGAAAAGTAAGGCAATGCAAGAAGCGCACTGCCATGCATGCCAGATGACGGGGTTTAAACAAGAGAGAGAGACAGAATGGTGCTCGATGTGCCTCGAATTGATGTGAAAGAAACGCCGCCAGGGGATGCTCCGCTTTCGAGCAAGTCCGTATGCAAATCGTCAAAGTCTGTGTGTGCGTGTGTGTGTGTCGGTATCGAGCCAGCCGAAAGTATATACTCGTTCCTGAAAGTGAATGTAGTTGCTTCGCCTCCCTCCTCCTCCTCAGCCCTCTTTCTCCTCATACATCCTTACCCCGGCCTCCTGAAAGCCTCAACATTAAGCGTAGGCGTCTCGACCTGCCTGTTGGTCGGCACGCCTTCATTCTTTCTCCTATCAAAGAAGTTCTGGCATTCGTGACTAACAAACGTCCATTCCGCCAGTGCTCTTCCAGCATACGTACTTGACGTGGCCGCCGCACCAATTGGAGGCGTAGCTAACACAGGCTCTGTATTGATTCCCTTTTGTTGAAGCAGGGATTGGGCGGGAGCAGGCAGTTTGGGGGGTTGAAGACGCATGTTGTGGTAGGTACCAAAGCGCTTGTCGACCCATTCGAGGGAGAAGCGGAAGTTGTAGGTGCGGTGGGTAGAGGGTGGTGGTTGTGTGGGGATGGATACGGGGGCGGGAACGGATGCCAATGCGGTGTTGGCAAGTGCTTCGGTCGTGGACTTGGCAGGGGATGATGTCTTGCTCGAATTCTCCTTTTCTTTAATGGATGGTGCAGGGCTCTTCGCCTTCGCGGTCTGCTTCGAGCTGCCTCCCATGAGACTTCGCAAAATGTTCCACTTGCCCTTGCCGGACTCCTCGTCAGGAAAGTCGCTTGAATCGGCAGACACGGCGGAGGCTGGTCGGATCTCAGCTTCCGGGATAGTGGTGCTGGTCGGAGTTGGCTTTCGTTGATTAGGGTTTTGTACGACGCCGTCAAACGAAAGGAACGGGCCGTTATTGGCCACAACAGGATTATCATTACGTATGATTAGGAAACGTCGGCCTGGTGCAGGATTGCATGCCTGGGTCGACGGGTAGATGATCTGCTTACGCTCAGCTTCTTCTTGAAGCCAAAGGTAGTGAGACCAGATGGACCGGAGACGGTCACTCAAAGCTCGTTTTATGGCACTATATCATTGTTAGTATTCGCTATCCTTGTCAAGCGTCAAGAATACGTACACTTCAACATCGGTCTCATTTCCATCGTAACGCGCAACCCGCCAGCAGATCAGTCGCATAAAGTAAGACCGTACCATAGGGCACCAGTGGTTGAACCGGCTTTCGAAGAAAGCGGGTTCCAGAAGGAAGTCAAGGCACAATCCACTCTTTCTTCGCTCGTCCATACACAGCGTGCACCAGCTGCTGTAGAGGAATGCGTACAGTTTGATTTCTGTAGCTGTGTTATGACTGGCGGCCATTGCCTTGAAGACAGTAAGCCAGAATGGCCAATCCATTACCGCGTGTTGATCGCTATCGTGCTGTTCGTAGCGGACCATGATAATGAGAGCCTCTTCGAGAAAGTCACAGAGAGTGTAACAGGCACTGTTGTCGTAGATGGAAATTTTACGCGCCTGGGCCTGGAGGAGACGAGCAAAACTGTCGGCAAACATACGCCTGGCAATATGAAGATGCGAGTTCCGCTCGGAAAGGAAATCCCGTATTAGCATAATAAGTCGATTCTCCTGCATCATTCGGGTAGCATTCGCGGGTGGGAGGGCGATGTTTGAGGCAGAAGCGTCGGGTTCTAGAACATCATCGAACGTGATGTCTGCTGCCCTCGATGGATCCTCCACTGGCTGTTGCGGCGCGGTATTCCTGTTGATTGTCGCATCAAGGTTGACCAATATCTGGGCATGTACCATGATGAGTCCTGGCACGCAGATGCGCTCCGCTTGACTGGGCTCAACAGGCAGGAATTCGCTGACTAGAATATGGAAATGCTTGACAAATACATAGAAAAGATCACTTTCAGCGCCAGACCAGCGCTTGGTCCAAAGCCCATACCAGTCAAGATTCGCCATGGCGAGTGGGGGCAACACAGGCTTGTGCAACTGGCGTAAGAGTCGGTTGAGCGAGAGCAACTTCAAGGAATGAAGCATGGGAGGGAAAGCAGCCACAACTCGATCTGAGACAGCATCCAGTCGGTCTAGCTTAGAGACACCAGACTCCTCCATGACCCGCTTCATCATGTCGAGTGAGGGACTCCACAGGCGCACCAACACATCGGCGACGCCTGGGCAGAAGCAAAAAGCATATGCGCACGTCTTTCCACAAAAGGTGACCAGGCTAGCTGCAGCGTTCCGTAACGACATTTTCTCTACAACGAAAGACATCTGAGATTGCAGGTTCTGCGTAAATATATTTCGAACGTTGTGGTAAACGGATTCGGCGAGGAAGTCGGATTGGCTAGACGAAGCAGAGCCGGTTGTAGACGTGGACAACGTCTCTTCGCGGTCTGCAAGAGCACAGAAAGGAGACGGGTAAAGTCTCCATTCGGGTCTCTCCATGATGGCCGCGATTCCTTCCAAAATGACTGGACGATCTGTGCCAGATATCGACTGATTGTTCCGCCCTGCAACAAGTTCCAAGAGGCCGGTCCACCATCCGTTGAGGATGTTGACGCGTCGATCGAGATCTTCTGGCCGGAGCTTGTGGTTTGAAGGGTGTGCGGTATATTGGCGGAGAAAAGGCAGGAGGGTGGTCCGGACGACGTTTGCTTTCAGCGAACTGGACTTGGATTGGAATCTGTCATCTGTTAGCTATTACTTCGCTATCGAGAATAGGGAGTCATGCTTGCGCAGATCTGCGTCGAGAGTCCTGAACGCGGTCCATAGCTCATCTTTCTTGCGAGGCTCCGTCTTGACACCCTTGAGCTTTTCCGCGGATACGTTGCGTGGTAGCGGCGGAACAACGTGGGTCGGGCTGACTGGATTGTGGTTTTGCGGGTAGTGTGGAAGTTTTTCTGTCGAGAAGGACTTGGGTACAGAGGGCAGGTTGGAGGCACTGCTTGAATTGGCAAAGAGACCGCTAAGGCGCTTGTTCTTCTTGTTGAGAGGCGCCGGCGGTGGAATGTCTTCTTTCACGACGTCTCTCGCTTCAGACTCCTCTGGAATGCTGGTTGTGGTTGTAGTCGTTGGTGTCTTGCGCTTGTTTGGCTCAGCAGTGGTAGTAGTAGTGGGCTGCTCCTTGTCGGTGGCACTCTTCTTCTTGAGTTTCTTTTCTTTCACAGGCGACGAAGAATCTCCCGGTTGCTCTTTTATGACCCACGACTTCCTCCGCAGGTTGGTGAGGGAGCGCGACGGGGAGCCAGCCGGGGACTCTGATTGTTGCTTCTTCACAGCATCGGTCCGGCCGCGTTCAGCCTTCTTGTCCGTCTTGCGTTCAGCTGACGGTTCTCTGCTCCGGCTGGAGAAGGGGAGAAATCGCGAGGAACGACGCGAGAGATTGTTGGGCCTGAGTTGCGGCATTTCCACACCAGCTATGTCCGGAGCCTCTTCTGAGGAGGGGCTCGATCCACCTGAGTTGCTCTCAGACGTTCGCTCTTCGCTCTTGCCAGTTTCGACATCGTCTTCGGAGCCTCTGAGTTCTACCACCGGCACATCAGTATTGATGTCCTTGACCTGGGGGAAGTACGTGTACGAGGCGGCCTTGGGTAGCTGGGCGCGCTGAGTTTCCTGGGGAGGCTGCGGGCCGACCTCTGACGCGGCTCTACTCCTGCCCCGAATGGCATTCGCGAGCGAGTAGTGGCCGCGCGGAGCCGGAGCAACGGCGATGGGCATGGCGACGGGAGTTGGAGGTAACAGGGGGGATAGAGTCGCAGTAAAGGGCCGGCTGTTATTTTTGGTCAACACACTTCGAGGTTTATGAGCTCATGGCGCTGAATTGGGACGGGTGCGGCGTTGTGCTGTCAGGCGGGCCGTTGTGCAGGCAGTGGCAGTGAACGGGCGAAAGTCCAGTAGGGTTGCGTGAAGGACGCGAAGACGTCACAAACGAGGCTGTGGTACCGGGAGCGAACGGAAGCCGCTCTTGGAGTGCGGGGACTGAGAAGTTTGTGCGAAAGCGAATGGTGTAGTTGGACAAGAGGTAGTAGCGACTGGCAGGCCTTCAGGTTTGAGATTCAGCACTCGCTGACGCCGCTGGGGGCAGGTTAGAGCTATTACTTTGACGCTTCGCAGGCGGACGAACTGGGACTAGCAGGGGTCATATGCGCAGCTTTCGCCTGTGCAGATCGCGTCGGAGCGATAATTCTATATTAAAAACGGGCGTATTCTTGGTATCATTTGCCTTTCGTCTACTGACCCGCGCCGCGCCGTTTCTTTACCTTTCGACGCTGGGTACGAGTTTTAGGGAGCCCGCCATCCACGGCCAGCATGACGCCTTTCGTCACACAGACAAAGTCCTGTGGCGATCCGGTGGTGTGCCAGCTATGCATCGCGTACACATGGTCGGGACAGGCTGCGTCTACTGCGCAGTGGGCCCCCCGGCGAACGAACTTGTTTTTCCCTGACGTGAACTGCGAACACTGCAATCTCTCATGGCTGCAATCTCCTGGCCATGACCTGGGTATATTGCAAAACCCCCGCCGCTTACCGCCTCGTTTCAGTCCCGACGTCTTTCCATCATGACTAGAACAAGCACGAGGTGAGTAATGCTGGTCGACTATTCCAACGACTGGTGGACAGGTGCTAGTGCTTCAGGGTAAACCTCTCAACCAAAAAAAAGTCCATTGTCCGCATCGCACTAGGACGTCGGTATGCAAAGCCGTAGATGCAGATAGGCGACCGTGCTTGCAGCTACTGCGGCAGAGTCCAACCGCGATGCCTCTTGAGCCCCACGCGCATCCTGTGCTTTGTCCGAGGTTCCGAATATGAGAGCATTATCGGGACGGGACATGCCAGACAGACAACTGTGCAGACCGGCTTATCTGAGGGGCCACGGTCGCTGCAGTCGATGATGCAGTCGCGTGTGCATGTGTAGCGATCACCACTGCCAGCCGCGTACGATGGACGCTTCTCGGAACAATGTGCATCAGTCGGTCAGAAACGCGACACGTCGTATGAGTGAAGGTGTGAAGTTGGGTGGGAATAGATGCGACAGAATAGTCACTTGTTACAGCGTTACAGGCTGGCACGTAAAAGTAAGCCAGCTCCTGCCAGAACCTCATCACGATCATGGCACCCCGCACATGCTTCACGTGTTTTACCCCCTCTCCTGAACATACGCCAGATCAACTGCCAAGGTGGGATGCTTGCTTCTCAAAACGCGATGCGCATGCACAAAAAGTACATATTCCAACAACTGCGGACCCGTGTTAGTTCCCAGTCCATCACGACAAAGCACGGATGTTAGACCCTGAGCAGGCTAGTTGTATAACTTCCACGTCTCATGTACTTGTAGATCGCGGCCTGTATCGAGTCAAAAAGAATGCCCGTCCATGAGTAGTTTAGTTTGGGCACCTTTGTCCTGAAGCACCAAAGAACAGCTGTTTTAGATCAACGCGCTCGTCCGTCTGGACCCAGCATCGATAGTCACGACTTGAACTGCTCAACATCCCACGGAACCAATCAATAGTCACAGTTTTGGATGCTCTGCACCCCCACGTTGATCATATATCACGTCACGTGATTTGCGTATTCCCGGACATGGCTGAGGTTCAGTTGGGTTCATCGCCCAATGGTATTGGCACAGTCGCTAGTATTTTAATACATGGCTTCCCTCACCCAGCAGCGCTCTAGTGAGTGGCTCCAGGGGTGGTAATGCTCTCGTCCTCCTCCTCGAACCAGTCCTCCTGGGGCAGCACAGCGTCGTCCTCGCCCTGGGCGCCCTCAACGTCGACTGCCTGTGTCTCGTATGCCTTGAGCTCGTTCGCGATGTCGGTCTCCTCGGGGGAAGCGGGGGCCTTGGGGACAGTGAACTTCTGGACGTGGCCCTCAGCGTCGCCGGCCTTGACTTCGGGAACCTTGTAGTTCTTGAGCTCGCGGAGGTACAGGTCCTGCACTAGGTCGGCTGGAGTACCAATTGGGTCAGTACGGTCCCCTATGTGAGCGCTTGGGATGAATCACCTGATCGGACGGCCGAGGGAGTGATGAAAGTGCGGCGAGCGACAAAGGCAGGCTGCTGGCGGGCAACTCGGACAAGCGCCTGGCGCTGTGGCGGGTCAGTACGTGTCCAGATTCCAGCAGCAACAAAACCGTACCGAGGCCCTGATGGATTGCGCGATCATTGTGTAGGTGTGGTGACGTGGGGAAGCTGGCAATGGGAGCTACAGTGAAGGTCGATGTTGGGGAAAAACCGTGGACCGCCGCAGCTTGAGCCGCGACCGCAAACAGTTTAGCGCGCGCCAAGTAGCAAATGGCCGCCTGCAGTTCCAACTATAACCTTCCCTCCGTCACGTCTCTCCTCCATCCTGCAGCCTGTCTCATACCACCACACTCACTCGACCTGCTCCGCCCCAGAAGCAGTCTGCAAGTGTCGTCGGTCGACCGCGCGCAATAGCTAGAACCTAATACAAATCCGTAGCTGATCCCGCAACTGCTGCAACAATGTCGTACGCTCCCGATGGTCGCCTGCTGTCGCCTGGCGAGGTCTATGAAGCCGCGCCCGCGCCCGTGAAAGAAGACGAGTGGCAGGAAGACCTGAACGTTGCCATGATCTGCCCGGACTGCAAGGAGAATCCTCCGAATCTAGTTGAAGAGTTCAGCGCCGGCGACACCATTTGCGGTTCCTGCGGTCGCGTTCTCGCAGAGAGGACTATAGACACGCGCTCTGAGTGGCGCACTTTCTCCAACGACGGCAAGTACTTGCCTGCTTGTAGGAAATGCAAGTGAGACATATGCTAATGTTGCGCCTTGCATCTAGATCAAGGAAACGACGATCCCTCGCGTATCGGAGACGCCGCGAACCCGCTGCTTCATGGCTCTCAACTCCAGACGGAGATCGGTTTTGGCGACGGTGGTATGAGAGTCCGCGACCTGAGCCGCGCGCACAACAAGAGCAACCACGATAAAGTCAACAAGGCGTTGCAGGCCGCATACGGACAGATCTCGGCGCTCTGCGACTCACAAAACATCAGTCGCCCGACCGCCGAGACAGCCAAGATGCTGTTCAAGATGACCGACGACGCCAAATTGTTCAAAGGCAAATCGCAAGACGCTATTATCGCCGGCTGCATCTTCATCGCGTGTAGGAAGCACGACCAGCAGCGCAGTTTCCGCGAGATCTTCAAGATGACCAACGTCAGCAAGAAGGAAGTCGGCCGTACATTCAAGGTTCTCGAGGCCTTCATACAAAAGTCGCAAAACAGCGGGCCCTCCGTCGCAGGCAACGGTGCCGTCATCGACACCGTCAACCTTCTCAACCAGAAAGGCGGCACCACAGCCACCAGCGCTGCGAGTCTCATGCCCCGTGCCTGCGCCAAACTTGCCCTTGGAACACAGGTACAGATGGTTGCAGAGGAATGCGCGGACCAGGTCGCTCATTACGGAGTCGCAGCTGGACGTTCGCCGCTGTCCATCGCTGGTGCCTGTCTCTACCTCGTCTCCCATCTCATGGGCCAGCCCAAGTCTCCGAAAGAGATTGGTCTCGCAGTCGAAGTCAGCGACGGAACGATCCGCACTGCATACAAGCTCATGCACTTGGAACAGGACAAGCTCATCAAGGAGGAATGGATCGCAAAGGGTGGCGATCGCTCCAGGATTCCGCAAGCATAGTTGTCTTGCGAGCCTTTAGGGTCGCGTTGGGATTTTGAGGTCTCTTCAGAAAATTGGTTTTGCATTTACAAGGACAGCGCATTGCATGGTGTTTATGAACAGGGTTCGTAATTCTCTGGTATGGGTAAGGCTTGGGGGTTTCTTAATACGGTGGCATTGCTAGTACGTTTTTTCTCTCTCTCGTAGCCTCACTCAAATTGCTTTGGCAACAACACATGATACCCGATAGATAGGCACATATCGAAAAAATTGAAATGGCGTTGGTTTGGAAAATACGTCGATATGCCGAGGTGAAATTGACTGTAGGCTACGGTTCACGTGTTAGTATACTGGTCTTACAAGCACACAGCACAAGACCGGCGATTCGACTCTCAGAGTTTGGTTAGAGGACCCTGGTGTAGACCCTGTTGACATTGCATTACGAGTACATGATTCCAAACCAGCTATTTATCTTAATCTGCCCAACATTGTCGTATGATAGCCATTCTTGCTCGTCCATCTTGAGTTCATGTTGTAATCAACGCTTTCAAATCTCCATGTATGTTACGCTGAGGAAGGTACAGGGTCTTCCCCCACAAGAGCATACGTCTGTGCTGCATTACGAGCATACCTTGCCAAGTACCCAACATGGTGCTGTGATAGTCATTATTGGGGCTTTGCACACGATGCCACCCCTCAGTCTAACCTCCATAGATGTTTCTTCACCATTTCGAGAAGGTGGACAAGGCTGCTTCCAGTAAAGCAGTATCATTCCTGACAAATATCAAGAAAGCGCAAGCGGAGACGACCCAGCGAAAGTGGTGTATCGTTCTTCCTATAAAACCACATCTACTGCCTTCCATGGTTTTGTTCACGTTTCCGTCAAGATTTCCTCCAGCCTACACTGAAGCTCACTGGGAGTACCTCCCTCACTCCCTAACCCAGTCCATCACAAGCTCTCTCAGCCGTAGGTCGCCACCCACCAACTACTAACCACCCACCATGAAGCCCATCATGCCCTTCCTCATCTCTCTCCTCTGTCTTGTCTCGGTTTTCTTCGTCCCCGTCGTCTCCGGCCACAACATCGTAAAGTTCATAAACCACTGTCCCTACCCCCTCTTCTTCTGGCAAGTCGGCCCCCGAGACTCCGGTATCGACGGCAGCAATGCCTACCGACAAATGGTTCCCGGCGGTGGTGGCTCGGTAATCCACGAGATGCGGAATACAGAGGCGCTAGGTGGGGGATTGAGCCTCAAGATACGGGACCTGGATCACTATGCGGTGGCACCGGCGGGTATTATCCAAGTTGAGTACCATTTGGAGCCGAGCAAGGGATTCATGTGGTATGATCTTAGTGCTGTGGATTGTGACCTGACTGCTGGGCCTGAGAATGCGATGTATTGCCGTAAGTTGTCTTCTCTTCAAGCTTGATGGCTGGCTGTGGACTAATGATGGTTGCAGCGCTTATTGAAGGTGGCATCAAGCTCTACGTTCCTGACGCGTACCTATATACTCCAGAAGGACCGCAAGGCGAATGTCCGACAGGGAGTTGTAACAGCACCGGATGTACCGACGCTTATGAAAGGGAAGGTGGATATCCTGGTGAGCCAAGTTGGGTGTGCAAGGCTGGTGCTGATCTTTTCCTTGAGACATGTAAGTTGATGACAGATTGAAAGAAGTCTTCTGAACGAACACTGACGAATAACCCCAGGCATCGAGAAAGCTGGCGAGAGGACCTTCTTCGGAAAGGATCCAAGTGCTTCCGCACCAGTCCACCAAGCCATCCCAGATCCCTTCGCCCAACCTCCTCCGCCGCCTCGAGCTGTTCCCTATAAAGAGCTCAAGATCTCGCCCAATGGTGAATGTAGGTCTTCTGCTAAACCCCCTTTCCCTTCCCTCTTCAACATCTCACTAACGAAAGTCGAACAGGCGGACCTATCGAAGGTTACACTTGCACCGGCTCTCAACACGGCCTCTGCTGCAGTCAGTACGGGTACTGTGGTAACAGACCCGAATACTGCTATGCAGGATGTCAAACCGGCTTCGGATACTGCCTCGGAGAAAACGAGGCACATCCCCAAGTTGCGGGTCCCGAGCCTTTTGTGCTGTCCATCGTTGGTACTGCTACTGATATCAGTGTCGTTACGTGGACTACAACAGCGACTGCGTTTTTGACAGAGACGGAGACAGTGACCGTTACTGCTACTGCTGCGTTCACTTCTCTTCCTGTGTCGGCAAGATCGTCTCAAAAGATGTTCAAAAGATATCCGAGGAGGAATGCAGCGGCATATGCGAATATGTGAGGGGAAGAAACCCCTTTAAGCACCTATTGAAGTTGAGGCATCAAAAACGAGACGGGTACAAAACGAATTGTACTGCCGTGTCCATCTCCATCACGACGCCAGGAAAGACCTGCTACGACAAAGATTATTTTGATATCAGTTATTCATTTTCATGACTGCCGATTCAGGTATTCGCAACTGCTGAAGCTGCAGGATCGGCACTACCTGCTACTCCTTGTCTGGTATGGAAGTATGGATGCGTGGCGAGAGTCTAGACATGGCCCTTGAAGTACTTCGCGGCAACTTCGAGTTGTGGGACGAGGCACAGAAGAAGCGTTTTCATGGTCTTTACGACGCTACGCACGGTCGATTCCGTAGCAGGAGGGATGCACTCGGTACTCATGGTTAGCCCTCTTCAAGTTGCCGTGGTGGTGGCTGTCATGGTTGGGCGCTTTGTAGCCTGTGGTCTGTTGATAATGTTTAGTAGATAAATGGAATGAAAACTGTCATCAGAAACTATTGCTTCTTGGGACAACGAAGCATCCGTGACAGAGGAAGCTGTGTTTCCTAACATTAAGGAGAATGGGTGCCTTGAGCTCAAACTATAGCCCCAGCTCGTCGTTGAGTTGTGCTCTCCAAGGTTGGTGGGCGGGATGATTGCAATGGCCTCTAGGTGCTTCGCTGGCCTTTGTGCAAGTTACCAGGCGTCGAGCGCATCGCCCCTAGCTCTTAGAAACTACCGCAGAATGTGTGACTACCGAGAACCACGAAATGAGGCTGCGATGTTGGTGTTGGTGTTGACATTGCCGCTGATGTGAGTGGGCCATGCACTAGCGCATCGGACCCCTGCTCGCCTAGCTAGCGCACATTGGAAATTTGCCCACCGACGGCCCTCACGCTCACCCATCGCCAGCTTGACTCCATCCCCGAACGCCCAACCCAGCTCTTCCGTACACCGAACGAACCGACTCCCGTCGAAATTCACAATCGCACAAAATGGACTCTGCTAAGGCCCCCGTCAACCTCGTCAAGGTCACCCGTGTCCTTGGCCGAACCGGTACGCGAAATTTCCGAATTCCCCCACAAGAAGAAGAGAAAGAAGAAGGGCGCAGTCAAAGAACCGTGGAGGATGCAATGTGACTTGAGAGAATGGCAGGCTGACGGATATATTACAGGCTCCCGTGGTGGTGTCACCCAGTGCCGTGTCGAGTTCATGAACGACCAGACCCGTTCCATCATCCGCAACGTCAAGGGCCCAGGTACGCACTCTCTGCCTACCCCGCGCACCCCTCCAAAATACTAATACATGTACCACAGTCCGCGAGAACGACATTCTCTGCCTCCTCGAATCCGAGCGTGAGGCCAGGCGTCTGCGATAAGCCCGCAAACAACTCTCGGGGAAAAAGGGAAAGCGGCATTTTCTACATTCGGTTACCGGAGTTCTTTGCGAAAGCTATGGGCATCTATACGGACTTCACGAGGATGGACAATATGATGGCGTAGTGTTTCTTGCTAGCGCTGCGGAAGCGGAGGATGGGGATGAGTTGATCTGTGGGAGATACGATTACGACGATATATCAAGAAGTCTGGGTTCTCTCCCTGAATGAATCGAAAATCTACCAACTCCCATTGAGTAGTGGATGTGGATGTGACATATGGAAGCTGCTGGCAGGACACGATATGGGTGCTGACGTTATTGGATATGGACTGATCTGCTTCTAGGCACGCCCCGTGAGCCTTCGATCGGTTCATAATTTCGGAGATGCTCGAGACGTTCGTTCCGCCGACTACCACGCCATGCTTTGCTCCCGAACCAGCTAATAACCTTATCAAGTGACACACGATACCACTGGACGAACTTGATGAAATATATGTTAGCCCTGCGGACGTATACTTATGGATTGTTAGGTCAAAAATGTCCGCAACCATAGCTACAATACTTATGGTACCACCGTACACATAGCAACTTCAGTTCGATTTACTCGCTTCAGCCCTGAAGCGCCCTCGGATGCCGTTCTTGGATTGCGACATGGGAATCATTGAGCTGTAACTTCATACTACAACACAGTAGTCTTGCTTTCCACGGCTTCTTCGATACACATTGCACACAGCAATCTACCATCTCAAGCTCAAGCACTGTTCGTACACCATATCGTCTCCCAGAGGCACTTTCTTACTCCTCACAGCCGTAACGATACCTGTCGCCATCGCTAGAGCGCAGAGCGTTCTGTATCTAATGTCCCACTACGACGGCGCTACGGGCTGTGATATCCTCCTATATTGCCTGTCTGTTCTGGGAAGCCATCCGCGGAGATTCCAAGACGCATCTCCTACTCAATGGTGAACCCTCACTCTACGGTCGCCGCTCGCAAAGGTCCAATCGAGCACCGACCCTTGCTTTTTGCGCTTTCTCCTCTCATTACTTATACGTGCAACAAACGCTCCATGTTTCACGCCGTCAACTTTGTGTGCTTTAACTTTCCTTCTTGATCCTCTCAAGCACCACGATGGACAACAGCAAGGCTGCAAAAAGCCGATGCGAAGTACTGGCAAAGTCCTCTCAGAAGACTTCTGTACGCTTGCCAGCACAGCATGGGAGGAGCACCACGCCTGCAGCATCAGTACCGACATCTCCAGTGCTTTGTTCAATCAGGCTCAAGCCACTGGCTTTGGAATACCCATCCGTAGATGTACCTGGAAGTGCAAAACAGGCAACTCCACCAGTAACACCCCCACAGTCACCAAAGTCAATCTTCGGCACAGACCTCTCTGGTTGTTCCAAGTCAACTCTGGGGACAACGCCATCGCGTTCACGGAGTAACAGTCGTGGTGGAGGCTTGTTCAGTTCCTTTTGGAGTCAGAAGTCATGGGGTAAGAGCAAAGATAGAGCTGATAGTGGGAATAACACCACCCACACGCCAAAGCATAGGCGGTCACTATCGTCTTCAAGCTCCCCATTGTTCATGGTAGGAGGTTCTTCAAAGGTACTTTCGGGTTCGGCATCTATCTTTCACTCCGGATTACCCTCCGCGATCGCTGATAGAGGTGCACTGATGCCCACTGACAACAGCACATCAATCATGCCATCGCTACAGCGTTTAGCTAGACGGAATAGGACAATCAGCTGGGTGGACCAACTTCCAACCCGACCCGCACCGTCACCGTCGCCGTCATCCGAAGTCAACTTTGGAGGAGCGCAAACAACGCACGGCTCCGAAATCGCACCATTGTTTGCGCAAGAAGACTCAGACAGTGACCCCAGCAGCTCAACGCTTTCCCTCAACTCGCCTTTCTCTTCTGACCTCCATCTTGCCATACAATCTCTCACACCCCAAACCACAATCGCTGATCAACAAAGTGAGATCACCATGCTAACCAGTCCGCGCGACCTCTCTCCCTTCAAAGGAAAGCCCCTCTGGGAACCTGACGATGAGGAATGGGAAGACATACACGCGATTCACATCTCGTCCACTTACAAAGCCTCCTTCAGAGACCCGCGACGATGTAGTCCGCAGAAGACAACAAATGCTAACACACTGTCTCGCTTCAGCAGCACCATCACATCTTTCCTGCCTTTCTCTCCTGCCAGACTCGCCGTAGAAGCCCGTCTGCGCGATGAAGAAGAGCTGCGAGACAAACTAGAGGAGCTGGACAACACGTACTACTCAGACCCTACCGGAGACCTCCACGATGCTGTCATGGCCTCCACTTTTCTGTCTGAATCCCGATACTTTCGCCATGATCAAGCTGGAAGTTTTGCCCGCGCTCCACATGTCATCGATCTGGAACGGTACTTCAATACTCAGGATCCACTAGTTGGAGCTGCTTACCCGCGTCTTTGTAGCGCAGTCGCTACGATACTCAGTCACACGAACAGAGTGTTTAGAAGCATTTCTTGATCCGCGGGTTGACGAATTTGTGTATCGGAGGGAAGTAGACAGAAGCACTGCAGGGAATATTCTTGTAATTAGGAGGATGGGGAACAGTGTTATTGTGAGTTTTTCTCTGTTGACGATTCCCCTTTCCCAGTCCTACAAATACCATCTCTTCCATCATCACGATAAGCACTGAGCTGACTAACGAGACAAATCAGGCTGGTTCCTACCGTAACCTAGGCTTCTCGTTATCATGGACCTTGTACGTCAGAGCATCGTTCAGCGCCACAGGCCTCTGGTACGAAACCTTTGCGTCGCCCGTCGCGGGCTCAAGTCCCATTGTAAACGGAGTACCAGCTTGGGATACCTTCATACCCATCAACGCGCCCTTTTCTTTTCCCGTCTCCTCGTCGTTCCTCCCGCCACCGTTATCATCCCAGTCGCAACAATCCACCGTGCCGTTGGAGTCCTCGCCTCGGAAGATACTCTTAGCCAGTCCAACTTCACCTCCGCAGTGGACGCAGAGTCCGAAGAAAGACAATGAAGAAGAAAACGATACCATTAACCCGACAGACGAAAAGTTTGTGCTATACCAAAGCAGGGTGCTGGCAAGGTTCTTCCTGAGAGACATCTGGATTAGATTCGAGGGACGGTACGAGTGCAAGGCCATGTGGGAGGTTGATGGGGCAGTTAGCGAGGTGAGGCTAAGGAGGGCTGTTGTGGGGTTTCCTGGGGACAATGACGATGATGGATAAGTACAGATATGTAACGTCCTTGTATGAACTGCCTACAAGACATACACCGACTTCGTACACTGGCACTTAAGGCAGGGATCTGGATGTTCCTGCCGATAGAAGCCATCTGCTTCTTCGCCTACAGCAGGAACCTGAGAAGTCGTGATAGTACCGGACGAGATGGAATTGTCTCAACAACAGAGATAATGGGTATTCAAAGCCTACAAAGAAAGCAAATATGGAACAACCACGCTATGCGACCCTAAAATTCCAGATCATACCGTGAGCCCCTTTTCCCCACATAGTATCTTACTCCGAGTCACTGTCAATGACAAACCCTGCCCTTGTATTTCGTGGTGCTGCTCTTCGCGCCACGGGTGCATCGTCCTCATCGTCATCCGTATCTGCATCTGCCATTGCAGTGTCCACAGCCTTAGCTGAACTACTTGCTGGTTTCCTAGGCGTATCCGTATCGCTCTCTGCCGTCATAGCATTGGCATTCTGACTCGAAAGCGGTGTATCTGTCGTTCCCTCTCCGTCTTCGTCCTCGTCTTCATTATCTTCAGTCACAGATGCAGCTTGAGTACTCTCTGCATCCTCCATATCATCATCACTATCCTCAAACAACGCTTTCTTCTTACTCCTCTTACTTTTCTTGACCGTCGCATCAGCCTTCCTCTTCTTCCCCACACTAACAGCCGGCTCCACAGTCCCCAACACCAGAGACTTTTTTAACACCTTCCGGTTCTCTTCACGGATCGCCTCCTCTCTTGCAAAGAACGCGGCATGCTCCTCAGCGTCCCAGTCCTCGTCGCCAGAGTCATAGACATACATCTTACTCAACGCTTTAGCTTTTCCCTCAATTTCCTTCTTGCGACGTGCTTCGGCTCGGCGGTCTTGTTCTTCTTCATCGAGCTCGACGGGAGTCTTCTGTCGGCGCCGTCGCTTCAGTGTTTTGCGAGGAACATCAGTGTCTGCGTCACGCGTAGTCGGTCCGCCTTTGGCGTATTCTCCGTGATCCTCTTCTTCTAGGTCGCGATCTATGCCGTCGGAGTCATCGTCGAATTCGGCCCGGCGGGTAGACCGACGAGCTGCTGCGGCTTTGCTGCGGAGCAGATCTTCTGGTGCTTTACCGTCTTCGTATGTCGGCGGGTCGAACTCGAACTTACGAATGAGATCGATGGCTTCCTGTAGTTGTGTTGACGTAAGCGATGAAGGATTAATCCATGCAGCGTCTGGGTCATGGTGTTCTCCTAGTCTCTCGAAGCCGACTAAGTTCATAAGTAGTCGTAGCTTGTTGTCTTTGAACATCGCTATACGGCGCTCTTCGGTGTCGTGCTTGATGACTAGATTTTATTAGTAGACTTTTTTGTAGCAGCAGAGTGGGACTTACAGATTGACGGTGGCTTCGACGTTTCGGCATCTGAATCGGCCGCTGCCTCGCCCTCTGGACGCTCTTCTGCGTCCGTCACTAAAGCCTTTTGTGCTTCGGCTGCCTCTTCCCATGCCTTGCGCTCTTCAGCTGCTGATGTGAGTACGTCTCGTACCCAGCGGAGATGGTCCGACTTTGACTGGTTTACAAGAACACCAACAGCGACACCAATCTGATCCGGTAGCTCCATACCAGGTTTGACTTCCAGCTCTGCTGGCGCTCGTGGCGCTCTGGTGTTTACCTCCTTATCGAAGCCGTGTTCAAGGAAGAAGATGGTTGCAGGGATCTTGCTGAACAGCATCTCTACTACCAGCTCCGGTCTCTCCTGTACTCTCTTTACGACTTGCCTAAAGAAGTGTTTGATAAAGTCGTCCCACTCCCTGTATGCAGGAGACTCAGGGTCCAGGCCGCCCGGACCCTTCATCATCTTATTGAATAGCTGCAGGATGTCCACCCGGCACAGTAGAACACCAAGCTCCATTTTGAAAGCGACACGGTGGAAGAAGCGATGCGCGCGCTTCAGCTGTTCGGTATCCAGATCGCTGAAATACTTGGCAAACGCCACGAAAGTGTTGACACTGGCTTGGTTGACAAACTTTGCAGCAAATCTCGTGAAATCGAACTTGCGTTCCGAAACCGTCTTCTGTGCCTCCTGAAGGTCTTCAGTCTCGGAAGCGTTACCCTCTTCCTCTCCGTCTCCGCCCTGCTTTTCAGCTTTCTTTTTCTTGATCTTTCGAGCTCGTCGCTTCGAGCGGATCTGCATATCCACGTTCTGCTTTGCATAGCGCTCAAGCATCCGCAAAAAGACATGAGAAAGCTCAGTGACCGCATCGAGATAGCCAAAGCCTTGATCCTTGTATGACCTTAGAATCATGACTATTCTATCATGTGTTGACTCTTCATAGAAGATACGGTTCTGGATATTCTCAGCAATCTCTTGGTCCTCTTCAAGTGCTGACTCGGACATTTCGTGCACGGTGAGCAAGATCTGGGTAAAGCACTTCAGTCCGGCGTTCAGATCTCGCCATGCCTTCTCGTCCTGACTCTTTTGCATGAAGCGGTTGAGTAGAATGAACGTCTCCTGGTTCATGACTTCGGCTACTAGCCCGTAGCTCTCATCCTCAGCAGACAGAACTTCTGGGCTCTTGGGGTCTGCGGCCCTCTCCTTCATAGTCCGCCGCCGCGCGCACTCTGCCCTCAGGAACCACGATACGAGATAGAAGTACTGTCTAGAATGCCGTGTTTCCACACGTTCAGTCTCGCGCTCGATAGCTTTCCGTAAATGCAGGAATAGAGGGTTGAAAGACGAGTCGAGAAACTCTTCAACAAAGGCTTTGATATGTTTCCGTGCAGAAGATGTCAGCGACACCGGCAGGTCGAACTCCTCTCTCTCTTCGCTACCATCCTGCTTGCGCCTTCCTTGTCGAGGTTTGTTCCACTTCTTCGTAGCATCCATCTTGTCCATGCTAGCCTGCGCCTTTCCTAGCACATCCTGCCCAGATATAGTCGTGACCTTTTCGTCATCCCGCTTCATCCATATCATTGTTCCGAATCGGTTGTGCCGGGTTGGTGCATGCCGAGCGTAGCCTGCGAGCATGGCCTTCTCTTTTTGCATCAAGTCCTTAAGCTCATCTGTGTTTTTAGCGTTGAGCTTCTTGTCTTCCATGAAGAGTTTCTCAGCATCGATACCCTTGAGCAGGAAGAACAAGATCTCGAGGATGACAACATCTTGCGTGACAAAGTCCTCTCCGATGCTGGACGCGATACTCAGAATGACCTGGAATAGATCCTGTTCTTGGAAAGTATCAATCGTTGCAGATCGAGAGACTTCGGCTTCGTCAGTGTCCATATGTGCATCGTTGGGTGGTGCAAGCATGGCAATATTGCGTATGAAATACAGCGCGATCCTGATGATGCCTTCATCTCGTGGTGTTCGTTCGCGGAGGGGTACTGCCATTGAAGGAAGCGCAGTCTTGACGGCAGTCTGAAGGATTCTGTCTCGGTCGAATTGCAGGATAGCACGCTTGTATCCAATCTGGGCGAGCCCGATGTAGGGGCCATGTCGATGGTGGTTTACGGTCGCTTCGGTTGGGTCGATTTCGTTGGGCCATGTCAAAGGCACAAGTAGTTCCACTATAGTGGTCAGTACAGTCCAAGTACGTCAGCCATACTTTCATACATGTCGCAACTGCAATCTTGTGTTTCCACGCGCTTTCTGTTACAGTCGGTGATATCTTGGCAAGTATCTCTAGTAAGTCGCCCTTTACGAGGTTTGCTTCGGCCATGCATCGTGCAACATCGCGTCGATTGTACTGCCCGTCGGCGAATTTTAGCCATTTCCGCAGGTCCTTGAGACACAGCAGGGCGTCGTGTCCAAGTGCATACGTGCCATCATCACCAATACCGCCGAGCTGTGCGCATGTCAGTGACGATTGCATTGGCAAAGCAGGATACATACAGCAGAAATTAGACTGGAGACGTGAGCGCGAACTTCTGGGTTCACAGTGTCCTGCGCCCAATCGTCCAGCGTCGTCTGAGGCATTGTTGTGGTTGATGCTCGGACTGCCCGCCGGTGTCGCGATAATCCAAAAGACGCGTCGACGCGTAAAGTGCCACATGCGGGACAAACCGCTCAAATCCGCCAAGCCCAGGCTGATCCTCGCTCCTTCCCGCCGCCAGTCAACGTCATGCCTCGGCTAGCCCGCGGCGGCTCTCATCGGCCTGGGGAAAGAAGTTCCCCATCACATGTTGTGTGTGCAACTCTCACAATTTGCTTGCAATCCTTCGAGCATATACTCACCATGTTTTCCGTAGCCTCAAGACAGGTCGCACGATGCGCAGTGAGGCAGCATTGCCGTGCCTTCAGCTCGACTCCCTCCGTGGGGGCTGCTGCTGAGGTCAAGAAGCTGGGTGTCATTGGAGCAGGTCAAATGGTGTGCAACGGCCGACCCGATCATACAGGCGAGTCTTCGGAGCTGACGTTTTCAGGGCCTTGGAATAGCTCTCGTAGCAGCACAGAAAGCCTCTGTACCAGTCCGGTTAATTGACAATTCCCAAGCATCAATCGACAAGGGCCTAAAGTTTGCGGACAAGCTTCTGGAAAAGGACGTCGGAAAGGGCAGGATCTCCAAAGATGACGCCGTCGCAGCAAGAGAGCGATTAACGTCTAGTACCTCAATGGACGACCTCTCAGACGTCGACTTCGTAATCGAGGCCGTACCGGAGATCCCAGACCTCAAACACAAGATCTTCTCGCAACTCGCACAAATCTGCCCATCACACGCTATCCTAGCCACCAACACCTCTTCCATCTCGATTACCAAGATCGCAGCGAGTACAACCACCGACCCAACCGACCTCTCGGCCTCATCGCGTGTCATCAGCACACACTTTATGAACCCGGTCCCCATTCAAAAAGGCGTAGAGATCATCACCGGCCTTCAGACCTCACAGGATACCGTCGATACCGCAATCGCCTTCTGCGAGAGGATGGGCAAGATCGCTTCCAAGTCCGCCGATAGCCCAGGTTTCCTCGCGAACCGCATTCTCATGCCGTACATCAACGAGGCCGTCATCTGCTTAGAGACAG